AGGCAGTAAAATCCATAACTGCAAAGAACACCTTTCATGTTTCGACATGGTTTTCCCACCCGTGTGTGCCCTACCCCCCTTTGTGACATTTGTCCTTTTGTACCTCTCCCTGTTACAGCTATATGCCCATAAAATTTGATGGTTGGCCCGACCAGCCTCCTTCACTTCCTGTCTGCTTAATTTAAGAATGTCACAATTCCCTGGGAGTGGCCTCTGGTGACTTCATAGCCTCCTGTCATGAGGGTGAGCTGTAAGGAACAGGATTCCATGAAAGCCTGTGGGCGTGATGAGGTGTCTGCTGTGGGGAGGGAAACGGTACCAGGAAAGACGGTGGCAGTGGTCTAGAACTTTCCCTGCGATTTCTAGTCTGGAGGTGGGCTATAGTATTTACATACTGAGTCATGTGTGAACAAGGGAGTGGGACTCCCTCGGTCTTCAGGTGTACCCCAAATGGCCAGGTATTACCTTGTCTTTTGCTGTCTTAGGTTAATAATCTAAGATGGCAAATGAAGAAAATGACTTTGTTTCTGTTCCCCTCCCCCCCCCCGCCCCCTTCACATTTCAGTGCTTTTATTTACTCCTTATTGGGTGGCACGTGACAGAGCAGGAGCAGGTTTCTTCCTCTTTGTTGTGTATGCTTACCTTACAGAGAGCCTCAAAGTTCCCAGTAGTGACGGTGATGGCGACATCCTAACCCCTCTCTAATTTCAAGGTTAACTAGTGCTGAATTCTTAGATGAGGTGAGAGGAGGTGAAGGAGCGTCCCATCAAGGTGCTCAGTGGGACAGAATGCAGCAAGTCTCTCTTGCTTCTTCTCGTGGAGATTAGCAGGGAGCTGGTGCTGTGTCCTTGCTGCTGGAGACACCGAGAAACAGAGCACTTTAGTTCAGAAACACTAAACTTTCCGCAGTGTGTCTCCCCTGGGCTTTGGTGAGAAGGAGTGGAAATGGCTATAAAAGAAGTCACCTGAGTGATCAAATCTGGTGCTTCCTGAACATGCTCTGCCCTTGACCGTCATTGCACACAGCATGACCTGTACCGTGCTGGGTATATGTGCTCTCGCAAGGATGACAATGGCACATGTCTGAATAGGGGCTCCCTTCAAAACCACAAAGCCATCTACCTGCATCCAGGAAGTGTGAACTGGACCTCTGCTTCCAGTTTCTACTCCATCAGTTTCTAGAATTCATCTCATTTATTTAGATAGTCTTCCCAGGCCTGGCCTAGGGCTTCTTGCATTGAAGAGGAAAAAGAACTAATTGCCTGGATGTTACAATCCAGTCCTTCAGAAAGGGGCACAGTTGACCCTAACCGGCAATTTTGTAAGGGGTGACTTGCTCACTTGTCTCAGCACTTCCATTTGCAAAATGCCAGTGATATAATCTCAGATTCGCTTTACAGATTAAATTAGATAAGTTTTAGAAAACCTTACACCCACTCCAAAATACTGTAAGATTTACTAACATTAACAGGAATTCCCAGAACGCCAAGGGCCAGAGTCACACTTTCTATAACTGCTTGTGTTAGGCACTTCATTGCTGACTCTTCTTGTTGCTGTGACTAAACACCAGCAAGAGCATTTTAAGGAATCGTGGTTCATTTCAGCTCACACCTTGAGGGGGCAGCCATCATGGCGAGGAAGGCTTGAATATAGGAGCATGAGGCGGGTGGTCTCATTTCGTCTCTGCTCAAGAAGCAGAGGGCAATCAGCGCCAAATTTCAGCTAGATCAAAGCCTCCAGCCGTGGATGACTGCTGCCCACATTTAGGGTGGATCTTCCCTTCTCCACTCAGCCTTCTGGGAAACAGGCGTCACCGACACAGCTGGAGTGTGTTTCCATCAGATTCTAGATCCAGTCAAATTGGACTGTGAGGATTAATGACCATGGTGTCCTTTTCACTTCCCTCTGTGCTTTAAACCTTGACCAGCGAAGCTTCTTTCTGCACTGAGACTCATAACTGGTCCAGGGGCCACGTGTAAAATAACACAAAGTGCTGAGTTTCCCATGGGTCATCTGTATCATGTCTTCACCATTTAAGACTCAAGAAACTATGCAGAATGGGGAGGAGGCAGAAGAATGTAGCAGTCAGTGTGTGGGGAGTTGAGCAGGGAAATGATGGCTTCTGGGTTTGCACAGTCACTGAGCACATCAGCTCCCCACAGCTGCATGCTATCTCTGCGTGATCAGTACAAGATAAAGCCAGTGAATTCCACCGTGGATGAGGAAAGGGCAAATGAGAACCCACTCCTAGCTGAGAAGCTATGGGCAATTGATGGCTGCCGGGGAGGGAAAGTCTGTTTTCTTCAGGGGAGTGGCTACTGGGAGAGAGCCAAAACCCTACTGAAGGGTCACACACCCATGTGCTTATGTGTAGCATTAACCGGACACAGTAGGAGATTTTAAAGGAGGTTGAGCAGATGCACTGGGGGAATAGGGAGTTAACTTGGGAGTGGAAAGCGGTTACGATCAAGACACGTATACATGTATGAATATTTCAAAGATAAATTTAAAACATTAAAGTTTTTAGAGCTATAACTTTGATGCACAGTCGAATGTACAAGCTGAATCTGAAATAGCTTGCAGAACAGCCACAGGGTTTTCCTTCCTTTTGGCTCTCTTTGACTTTTCATGTGTCTTAACCTATGTGTCTAATGTGATTGAAACACCGAGTACAAGTAATTTTTTAATACATAATGCTAATATATGTATACATATTATGTATATATATTGTGTATGTGTGTGTTGGTTCAATTTCACCTTTACGTGGACAAAAATAAGTTCTCTGGCTAAAAGATAATTATACATTATTAATTAACTTTTCCTTTACCAAGACAGTTATTCCAATCAATAATTGAAATGCTTATTTTTCATTCATTTGTTCAACAAAATTTAGACCTACAAGCACAGAATCTTTGACCCTCATCAACTTTCATATCTACCTCATTGATCTAGTCCTCATAGTTCAAAGATGGCTTTCTGGAGGGAGCTTTATCCAAGAGGAAATAAATCTGATGTGTAGAACCTGCCATGCGTGGGATGGCATTGCCTGTATGAAGGTTGGCAGCAGAAGAAACTTTAGTCTGCAGAGCTGAGTCCTATAAGACCGGACTCTTCCGCTGCAGGATAAGCAAAGAATATGACAGGGCTGATTAGGATATCAGGGGCATATTGCCTGCTTCTTTAAGATGTGTTTGTCTGCAAAACTAAGGGGAACACTGTGTAGACCCCTGTAAGTGAATACTAAAGACTAAAGATGAAGACAGTGGAGCAGTTCTCACAGTACGAATGAGATTCCTAACTGCTTCTAAGTGGGCATGAAGAACACCATATCTACTCAAACATACATGCCAAGTGCCACCAGTAGCCCCACCATTAAAATGAATATGGTGACTTTATATCTATCACTCAGATTTCTAGCTTTTCCAGAGTCTTAAACTGTGTGTCTAATGTGATTGAAGTGTTGAGTACAAGTAACATCTTAATAGGCAGTGCTAAATTATCTCTTGATGAGAGGACAAAATCTTTCAGTTGTGACCTTAATAAAACTTAATTTAATTAATGTATTCAAGATGTTCTCTGAGAATAATTTTATGCAATGAATAAGGTGATTTTACTCTTCATCCTTTTGTATCCTTTGACCATTTTAACATTTTTTCACAGAAGAGCTTAATTCCTATCCTTTATCTCATATAATTGTTTTATTGTTTTTGTACATTAAACGGTTATGCTAGATTTAGTAGGCAGGAATCTGCCTTAGATTTCTCTATGTCTGCTATATAAAATTTAGCATGGAGCACAAATATAAATGACAGTGACAAATTAGTAACAAAGAATGCTAATGGAAGATTTTCATAGATAATCTTCTCAACTTCAAAAACCAACTAACAGTAAAGCAAAGGTGCTTCCTTAGCAACTGGATGTTACACAATAAATAGCCTGCTATGGCCACTGAAGATTAAGCCAATCAAGTTGGGCAATAGCTCAGTTGGTAAAGGGTTGGTGGTTCACTTGTTACCAATGAGTAGAGAGGCAAAGACAGGTGGATCTTTGGGGTCTCTCTGGCTAGTCAGTGAAGCCTAACTGAGGAGCTCCTAACCAATGAAAGACCCTGTCTCATAGGAGGAGGATAGTGTTTCAGGTGATCTTCTGCCCCCCCCCTACATACACACACATGCACATGCACACGCACACGTATACACACACACACACACACACACACACACATCTATCTGCACACATATGAACACACAAGCATAGGAGAAAAATGGTCAAACAGTACATGGTCTCTTTCTGTCCAGTACCGTGTGAGCATAAACATCTACTGTATTTCTGTGGGCAGGAGAAGCGCAGTCTCTAGAAGGGAAACGAAGCTAACCAAAGGAAGGATGTGAATATCAGGCTCATCCTGTATTCTAAATATGCACCCAGTATTGCAGTCACTAAGGAGATCTCCGAGATACAAGTGCTCAGTGTTTCTGCTAAGCATCCTCCTTATAAAGGCAGTAGCCATAAAGCCACCCAGATAGTGCATCTGTTTCCTAAATAGCCCAGCCTGTGATAGCACTTAAGGCATAGAAAGAACTCCAGAAATGTCGGTTGTCACTCTTGGGAATGAATGACTATGACGTCATTCTTCAGCCCTATGCCAGCACACACTGTAGTATCTAGTCACATATGCCTCTCGTGTTCTTAAAATGTTGCTTGAATGTTGATATGTGCTTTTAGTAGGAGCTCCACAATGAATTTTAGAGACTATGCTTCTCTAGCTGCTGGGAAGGGACATCTCGGGGTGTTTTGTGAAGCAGCCGTATCACAGACATCCACTAAGTGTCCTGATGAGCTGTGAGGGCAGGAGACAAGTCAAATTATAACTGAACACGTTTGAACTATGAATTTTTATAAGATTAAAATTAAATGCGATGTTTCTTTCCTGTAGTCCGTTTTCTCTTTAATAAACTGTCCGTGCCATACTGTGACTCATGAGAGCACTGTGTTTCTAGGCTGCTGGTTGGTTCACCATGGAGTGGCTTTCCTGAGAACAGAATGGGAGATGTGTACAAGTGCCCTCTTGATGTCCCCACGGACGCTTGTGAGAAGCTGAACCTGCAAAGTGAGTTGTTCTTAGCAATGCGATTATTTACAAATAGCAAGTCTCATTTGTCAGAAACACAGACAAAAATGACAACAAGATCCCAATCTTGGCTTGAAGAAATGTAGATAGCTTTATGCTTTTGTTTATTTACTCATATGGATATAAGTTCATATCCACCTTTTTAAGTGGCTTTGAAGACCTGGTTTAATAATCTTCAGAGGTAATGTTCTGTCTCCGGGGCCATTTGTCTTAAATCATGGACTGATTTCTCCACTTTTATCTTTCATATTATGGCCAGAAGTCTGAGACTATCAGTATTTCTCTACCTCCTCTTTCCAGAAAAAGCCATTATATACAAAAACACTAGTTCTGGGATTGGTATTGAAGGTTCCAAGAAATGCTATGTATTTCAGGTTTACTGAATAATTACATTCTAGCTAAAATACGTAACTTAAAATTATTTGCTATTTTATTCACCTACATTACAGATGTATTCTATTACAATGAGGAATATATAATAAAGATTTAGGACTAGAAAGCTGAATGAGTAATATTCCACACAGTATTTCCTGAAGGAAGTAAAAGAACCTTCAACTCTTAGGTTAACACCTCAGCAAAGCCATGAGGATACAAACATTGCTGAGCCCGAGTCCTCCTTAAAAACCAAGGCATGCGATGAGAAAGGGCATTGTTAGAAAACTCAGAATGATTTCAATGACAGTTGCAAAGAATTAGAAACATGGCTGGGGAGGTGGCTCAGTCAGTAAAGTGCTTGCCTTGCAAACACAAATACTTGAGTTCGACTCCCAAAAGTCATATAAAAACGCTCAGCCCTGTGCTACCTGCATGACCAGGAACCAGAGGCAGGACAGCACAGAGACACAAGATAAAACCAAGCATGACTGGAGAAAAGAAAAAGTCAATAGAATGATCCCTCATGATGTTCTGCTATATTCATAGATCAGGAAACACAGCACCAAGAAAAAAAAAAAAGCAAACACCAGCAATGTTACTGTATCGCCTCAACTGTGTCTTTTTAACTTTTGAGCATTTAGGTGGTGGCTTTCTAGGAAGTTTTTTCTTCTAGATTCTCATGCCTCTGGAGAGAATCTGTGGTTAGTGTCTTCCCACCATCCCTATTTTGAAATAAAACCTAGAGATTTAAACATCGGGGTTTGCATTTTGGGTCAATTATACAAGTTAGGTGGTCCAGGAAAAAACAACACTGTTGATGGGTAGCTGGCTATTCAGCAAAACAATCATAGAATATTTTGTATAAAACACAGGAGTTAAGAAGACACACAGACACATAGTTCATTTTAAGCTAACACATACTGGCATATTGCCTTATTAACAACATGTTTACATAAAATGCATTTAAAAATAAGGGCACAAGCTTAGGAGTTTCATTGTTTTCTTTCTATACCAAAGAAATTCTTACTCTATGAAAGCATACGTAACTAACATAGTTATAAGTCCAGTGGGACTGTGAAGTTAGGGAAAAAATAATTTATAAAGAAATAAGTACAAGGATCAATAGCCATCACCCATTTCTAGAATTTAGGCGATATGGGGGTGGTAGCAAGACAGCTCTATGGGGTAACAAGATTAAGAACTCTTTCCAGAAAAAGCCAGAGTGTGAGGGGAGCCACCAGTGAAGTGGGTATTGGCCAATGACAGTGCAGTATTTATCTAACTAGAAACATGTCACCAGCGCCTGGGAGAATGTGTCTAAGAAGTCTTCCTCCTCTAAGACTGAAAGAAAGGAGGGAGGGAGGAGGCCTCCTGGTGACCCTTGTCAGTGCTGAGGAGCCAAGGTCGCTGGAGCACGTGATTCATACCACAGTGTTCTAGCGTCTCACCGAGACGGGCAGCGAGTGTGGAATTTAAGGCTTCAGAAGAGGGAAGTCTTAGAGCAGTCGCCCGGGGAAATGGGGAAAGCAACCCAGCTGAGGATTAATGACAGCGGTGGCGATGGCTTGCCTGAAACTAGAGAACACCAGGAAATCATGTTACCAAAAACTGGAATTTCAAGGCTCAGGAAATAGCCAGGTAGTGGTTGGTGCCATGGCTTGGAGGGACAGATTCATTTCTTGTTTTACCTGGCTGGCCCCATGGTTTCTTTTTGAAATTCTCCTACTGATTCAAGCCAGAATCTGTCAAATGGTGTTCACTAAGAGTATTTTAAACAATCCCTATTTAAAAAAAAAAAAAAAAAAAAAAAAAAAAAAAAAAAAAAAAAAAAANAAAAAAAAAAAAAAAAAAAAAAAAAAAAAAAAAAAGAAGAAGAAAAGAAAAGAAAAAAGAAAAGAAAAGAAAAGAAAAGAAAAGAAAAGAAAAGAAAAGAAAAGAAAGGTGACAAACAGAAATGGATGGTGGTGCCCTCACTGTGTGTTTTGTTTGATGGGAACGTTGTGCTTTCTGAAACACATATTTAAATGCCCTGGCCGTGCAGCTGCCTAATGGCCCCTCACACAGGAGAGCTGGGAGTGGCTGAAGACACCACGTTCCTACTCTTCATTATACAATGCTTGTTTCCGGATATGTTATACTACACTTAAACGTATGGAAAATAACATGAATCTGCCTGTTTGTCTGATTACAGCCTTAAGTGAAGGGTAGATATTTAATACTTCAAAACATCTCTTTCTCTCCGCAAGGTTCAACCAGCATCTCAAATGTTACGGAGATCAAAACCAACATGAGCCTGGGTTTGACCCTCACCAGGAATTCGAGGACCGGAGGCTTTCTAGTGAGTGTTCTCCTCTCAGCTCCTCCTTCCTCTGGAGAGAGTGTGTGGTCAGTGTCGTCCTGCCTTCCCTCTTAGCAAATGCAGTCTGGAGATTTAAACATCGAAGTTTGCTTTTGGATCAACTATGCTACTTGGCTAACCAAAGAAACATAACAGGGTTGATGTGGAGCCTTCTTGAGTAGTGAGCAAATGATAGGATGTTTGGAATGCCATGAGAAGGTGAAAAACAAGGCCTTTGCCCTGGGAGGTGTGTGGGCAGGTGTGGATGCCATCAAAATCACAGGCATCTTCCATCAGTAGGCAGGGTTCAAAGCCAAGGAGTGTGATCGCCTTCAATCGCTGCCGTAAGGTCTGGCTATTCAGATCCTATGGAAAGCAAGGAGCTGTCTCTCCTGTCATGTATCTGCTTGTCCTCGCGTGTATTTCCAAATGTGCTAGGAAGGGAACGTTTCTGAAGGAAAACAGAATTTCTGAGCTTCGATTTAATATAGGAAATTGCTGAAAATATTTGCTACAAATAATGAAAAAAATATCACATACCCCCCAAAAAGTTGAAAGACAAGTAAAAATTAAACCGTATTTGAAATTTCCTCTGATTCATTAAAAAATAGTCCAATTAGACAGCTCTGAAAAATTGTCTTCAAAAGCCTAGGTTGTCTGGCTATTGACATGCTCACCTAAAATCTTGTTTTATGAAAAAAATCTTGATTTAAAAAAATGTAACCAATATTGTCATTTCATTTAGAATAACAGATATTTACATTCAGAGAAACTTATTACCACTAAATAAATTAAATATTGGCTATCATATTGGCAAATCAGTGTATAAATGGCTATTGCAAGATGTCTTTGTGTTTTGCTATATTCGAACTTCTTTATAATAAAGCTGACTTCATGGGTTTTGTTTATTTTGATGGTTGGCTAAGTCAGAAGAATATCTTGAGAATTATGGACTGTAGATGTACTTTTAAAGCTTTAATGCTTAATTCTAGATGAAATCAAAGTTTTAAAAAACTACAAGGGAATTCATAGTCACTGTACAGGGGCTGGAAAGAGGAAGAGACCTGAGTTTCTTTATACATTTAGAAGGTCAGAGTCTTGAGCCGCTCTTAAGAATTATGTGGAAAAGACTGACAATCATCACATATTTCTGAACCTTCTTAAGTTCTGGGCTTAAAGCAAGAATGTTTTGGCAGTAACGGCTGGCATATTCTACCTTCAGCTTCTTAATTCTGTTTTCCATTGCTTATGAAAAAGAATGTCTATTCTCGCATACACCATAAATCATCTGCCAAGGTGATAAAAAAGACTGAGGATATAGACATGGGCATGGATGATTGTCATCTACTTTGTGCATGTGTGCGCGCGCGCGCGCGCGTGTGTGTGTGTGTGTGTGTGTGTGTGTGTGTGTGTGTGTGTGTACTAGCCAGGTGCAACGGCTTTTTCCTAATTGGCGAAGTGTTCCAGTCTAATGGGAGGAAAGCCATGCTTGCTCACTGGGCATGAAATATGAGCACAGCTGCTAGGGTTCTGCCACTAACAGTTAAACTGGGTCAAATAAATCCCCTTTGTTTTTCCAGTTGCTTCCTGTAAGTCCACACTTTTCTATTCAGTTTTAATAATTGGTCTGGCCATAATAAGTTCAATGCTCTACGCATGGGTCACGACTTTATATACTGGGAATTCCTTAGGTAATTTTTAGTATCTTTAGACTTGACCTCTCTCCCCCACGGTTCCTCTTTTTATATAGAAAATTGAGTGATAGAGAGTCTAACGTCTCCTGGGTGCTTTAATCATGACTTAACCCGCAGTTCTCAGCATCCTCCTAAGGGCTGCTGGAAAGGAGAGAGTTGGCGCTGTGTTCAGGACAATAGTAGGAGTTAGGATTTGTGGGCTTTGAGCGTGGAGATAAGAACCAGCCAGGGAGGGGCCTTGCTGTTCAAAGTAAAGAAATAGTTTATAGCAAGGTTAAAGTGTTCATCACCTCACTTGTGTTGTTCAGTGTGTTCATATGCTTTACAAGAGAGCTTTTTTTAACTCAAAATTTGCCTTCAAGGTCTCAGAAAGAAAACGAGTGGGGTTTTAAAATAGCAGGTGAACAGGGACACAGTGGCCTGCCCCTGAATGGAAGAAGTGTTTGTTTGCTTACCATAATGTCCATACACAGCTCAGGCACTCTAGAGGACCCCTGCCTGTCCTCATAGGCAGTTGGGGTTTTGCTTCCTATAGAGAAGTCCTAGATGAATGGGACAGGAGGAGACCCAGTGCTCAAACAACCACAATGCGGTGCTAATGTATCAATTGCTTCTTCCATGACTTTGTTTTGAGTATTCCATGTCAACGGACTATGGAATATTCAATCTTTACAATCTTACAAGGAAAGGAACATAATTATCTTCCTTTTATAAAAGAGCCACATGAGACCCACATACCTGAGAGACAAAAAGCCAGCTTGGCATTCTGTTTTCTTATGGAACTTTTCTAGTAGTAGTTTGGTGGGGGACCCCATCATCTCTCTGTCCACTAACAGCTACCCCTGAGGGCCCCATATCTCTTCCTCAAGGTCACCATGAGGCAGCACGTCTATTGCTTTCTCCTCATCTTTTCAGCCTTCCAAGAGGATGGTCACTCAAAAGCATTTTAAGATTTTTAAGAGTTTATTTTTATTTCAACCACATGACTGTGGGCCTGAATATATGTCTGTATACCAGGTGCAAGCCAGTGCCTATGGAAACCACAGGAAGGTGTTAGATATCCGGGGATGGGAATTATAGGAGGTTGTTAGTTGCCATAGAGGAGAATATGGGTCCTCTGGAAAAGCAGCCAGTGCTCTTAACCCCTGAACTATCTCGCCAGTCCTTCCAATGCATTTTTGACTTGCTAGTTTTGACAGTTAGCAAATCGGGTGCTGGAGAGATGGCTCATGATTAAGATCACTGGCTACCCTTCCAGAGGAAGGTTCAATTCCCAGAACCCACCTGCTTCTGGCCTTCATATGTATACGTGTGTGTGTGTGTGTGTGTGTGTGTGTGTGTGTGTTGGTGAATCTTAGTATCTTAGGAAAGAATGGATATGGTGTCTTCATTCCATAAAAGGAGAAGTATATTATTTTATTATATATATTATTTTCTCCTTTCTTTGAAGACCTGTGGTCCCCTGTGGGCACATCAGTGTGGAAATCAGTATTATGCAACTGGAATTTGTTCTGACATCAGTCCGGACTTTCAGTCCTTGACCAGCTTTTCACCTGCAGTTCAGGGTAAGATAGAATTGTGAAGGAGGTCTGAGCAATGCCTTACAATTAAAGGGGGAGGGGGACCAAGGCCAACCCAACCTTCCTGTAAGTCTGAGGTTTCCATGGTTGAGAAGTCTGACTTACCTTTTTCATCTTCCACTGTGTAGCTTGCCCCTCCTTCGTCGATGTTGTAGTTGTGTGTGATGAATCAAACAGTATTTATCCCTGGGAGGCGGTAAAGAATTTTTTGGAAAAATTCGTACAAGGCCTGGATATAGGTCCCAAAAAGACACAGGTAAGGACATCAAAAATCAAAACTGAGCCCATGGCTCTCCTTTGGGGAAAAGAGTGTTAGATGTGAAGTCTTTAAAAGTTTCATTTGTCAGATATTTATTTTAATGTACTTAATGTTGACCTGGGAAATTAATTGAAACATATACTTTGAAGGTCAGTATTTGGCTTATGGCTTTGTTCAGTGTTGTGGATTTTAGTTTTATTTTTGACACCGTCATCAAAAGAATAGTGTGTAGCATTTAAGACTCTTTTAAGAGCTGCTTATTTTAATTCTTTAACCCATGAGTTTATTAATAAGACATTTACAGGAATAGAGATGTGGCTTAGTGGTTAAGAACACCTACTGTTCTTGCAGAGGACCCAGGTTCAGCTCCGAGGCTACACCTCCTGTCCCAGGTGACCCAAAGTCCTCTGGCCTCTGTAGGCACCTGTACACACATAGTGCACATAAATACACGTAAGCACACACATATACTCAAAAATAAAAGGCAGTAAATAATATATTTTAAAATTAGATACCTATTTTCTCTATATCAATTATGTTCAATTCTATTTGTTTACACTTCCTTGTAAAAGAATTATCTGACTTCTGTGAAATTGAAAAATAACTCAGTAAGCATGATTCTGATTTATAGCCTCTTGTATATAATCCAGTATTATCTCAGTTGTATTTTACATAAGAGAAAGTATTATCAATAATTTGAAATCATTTTCTGTATTTTCAAAAGTCTCAATTGGGTGTTATTTTATCTTCTTTTTGTTTGTTTTTATATGTTTATTAGTTAACTTTACATCTCTGCCACAGTTTCCCCTCCTTCCTTTCCTCCCAGTTCCTCCTCTGCCCCTCTCTATTCACATCCCCCATCCACTCTCCTTCTTTAGTGTTCAGGAAGGGGCAGGTCTCCCATGAGTAGCGACAATACATGGCATAACAAGTTTCAATAAGACTAAGCACTTTCCCATGTATTAAGGCTGGGCAAGGAGACCCAATATGAGAAGTAGGGTCCCAAAAGCTTCTAAAAGAGTCAAAGACAGTCCCTGCTCCCACTGTTAGGAGTCCCACAAGAGGACCACGCTACACAACCGCAACATATATGCAGAGTGTCTAGGTCAGTCCCATGCAATCTTTTTGATTTAGGCACTCAAAACACAGGCATACTTGTTTCATGATTCCTCCAAAGACTAAGTAGCATGTATTCCAAGCTACTCAGTAGATAAAGCAGGAACATCTCTGAAGACAAGGATTCTGAGTCTGGCCTGAAAAGTATAGCAAGACCCTGAAGGGAAGAAGAGAGTAGGCAAGAGAGAGAAATGGGGGTCAGTTTCTGGATATTTTGTGGGGTTTTTTTTTTCACCATGCTCCTTGTTTCTTTCTCCATTTTCTGATTGGATCTACCACAAATAGGTCCTTCTGACTGGAGCAGCAGTATCCCCAGTATCACTGATTCCCTAGTGCACATTCCCAGCTGCCATCTGACAAGACAACACCTCACACCTGGGAACAACTGTCGGAATAGTTTTCCCTATTCTTTGCAGTTATCTTCACTGAAAGTTTACTTTTCTAGTTTTCTAAAATGTTATAAAATTATCAGGCGGTGGTGGGCCACACCTTTAATCCCAGCACTCTGGAGACACAGGCAAGTGGATCTCTGTGTGTTTGAGGTCAGTCTACTCTATAAAGCGAGTTCTAGGATAGCCAGGGCTATTACATAGAGAAACCCTGTCTCACAAAACCAAATATAGATAATTTTGATGTTGATTTTATATACCAGGGTAGTGGGCAAACTGCCTTTCAAGACCATGGAAATTCCACTGTGGATTTTTACTATAAACTTCTATTAATGAAGACTACATATCACATTGGTTCCTGGAGAACAACACTTTTCAACCTCCTTAAGAAGAAACTTTTCCCATTTGTCTGTCTCTTTTCTGTCTCTGAATTGGTTACCATCCCTGTCCGAGCTGATTTTATAGTCTACAGACTTCATGACTTTCTTCTGGGTCTTTCTACCTCAATCCGTTGTCTCCTCTCTAGGGGAAGCTGAGTTCAGTCTCTCTTCTTATGGCCCGTATTTAGTACATACCTTACCTTTAAACCCTACTCTCTCTGCACTCAGGTCTATGGCTGTTTTTGTAGGAATCGTATTCAGTTAGTTTTGAATCAGTTGCACATCCTATCTTAAAGGAAGAGGGACAGGATGATCACCGTGTTTCTCATGCCTTCCGGGCGGCCGCCGTACCGCCCCCCAGGCAAAGCTACAAACTGAACTCAGCTGTCGAGGGCTGATCTTCCACCTCCTTTATAGCCTTACCTCAGAGACTCTTGTGTCTTTCAGAAAGCCTCTTACTGCTCATCCCTATTTCCTGCTCACACAATCGCATCTCCTGGGCTGGGAGAATTCTTTTCATACTTGGAAATAGGCATAGTGATAGAAAGATGTAAGTTGCTTGATCTAAAGGATTAGACACTGTTTCCCGATACCTTGTTCAAAAGTTTATCTTTCGGTTTACTCTCTCAAATAAAGTCCTTTCCAATGCTGTGTCCTCTCTGACGGCCAGAGGGTTCCTGCACCACATGCATATCTAACACCCTTGCTCCAACAATGCTCAAGCCCACAACAGGGGAAATCTAACTGTCCATTAAACTGAATACATAGCTTAGAAATATGTGAGTTTCTTCAACTCTGACTCTGTTTCATAACTACTCAAAACTAATGAGATGTCCTCTATGATTGTTTATTCCTGTTTTCAAACTAGTAGCCACTGATAATTAGAAAGCTAAGCCTAATATTCTTTTGCGTTAAAAATATTAAAGACGTGCTTTCAGGTATTTTACAGCTATTTCTGAACCAAAAATGTGTGCTGTAACAGGTCATCTTGTTGGCAATCACGCTCCTGTTATATACTGAAGACCTCTCCCAGAGATGATTCCACAGAAAGAATACTTTTCAAGAACAGGACTGAAATTGGTTCCTTTAAGCTTCCAGGCTTCACATCTAAGTTTGCCTTTCTCATTTTATTGGCTAAATAGAAGTTATGTGTAAATTAATGATAATTAATAAACTTCTCTTTGAAAGGTGGCGTTAATTCAGTATGCCAATGAACCAAGAGTTGTATTTAACTTGAACCGTCACAAAACCAAAGAGGAAATGGTCAAAACCACATCGGAAACCCGCCAATTTGGTGGGGACCTCACAAACACCTTCAAAGCGATTGAATTTGCAAGGTAAGTTTTGATGCTGTTGGGTCAACACTTCGACAACATAAAAGTGCTAAAGACAAGAAGAAGGAACGGGAGAGGCAGGGCAGAAGTAACAAGGGCAGAAACAAGCCTTCCTGTGGCATGTGTACCTTGACATGGAACAGAGGAAATGGCGTTACACACCATGGTCCTGGCATGGCCAGACATATGAAGTTGTTTTATATGATTTTTCATAAATTATTTAAACTGCAAAGGTCTTAGATTAAGATAGTGTGAAATGAAACAATCTGATGTGGGAAGTCCTTCTGTATATGTTTTGCTTTTATTAGTTAATGAATAAAGCTGCTCTTTGGCAGGGCAGAATATTTAGCCAGGCTGGAAGAGACAGAGAGAGAGTAGGCAGTCAGGGAGACACCATGTTGGAACTTTACCAGTAGGCCGAAGCCCCATGGCAATACATAGATTAATAGAAATGGGTTAATTTAAGATATAAGAGCTAGCTAAAAATACATCTAAGTCATCATTCAAACAGTGTTGTAATTAATATAGTTTCTGTGTGATTATTCAGGTCTGGGCAGCTGGGAAATGAACGAGCGACTCTGTTTATGACAGTCTATCACTCTTTGTTAGCATTAACTTCAAATTAAACTAATAGAGCATTTTGTACACATTAATGAAGCTCATGGTGCATTATACACAAGAATTTGAATGCTGAGATTATTATTCCTGCAGCAACACACAGGAAATGGGAATTTTACAACTTCATGGCATCCACCTCCTTCTTACCTCAGTCCCTCTTTTTCTGCTGCCATCCTTACTAGACTCTTTATTAAATGTCTGCCTTTCATTTTTGTAATGAGAATTATGTGCCTTCCCTTAAACCTGCTTCTAGCCTTTTCCATCTCCAGTGTTTATTCTTTCAAAAGCCACTAAAACAAGTTTCTATGAATCTTCTCACTTCTTCCTCGAAGCCTGTAGCTCTGCCACTAAGTGAGCCTGCTCTCTGCATCAGCTAACCTAGTGTGGTTGCCTCAAACCCACTGCCCTTAGTTCCTCTGTGCATGTGGTAAGGACAGACATACACTGCCGCTCTGAACTCAGTCTTCACTGAACATCATGAACCACTTGGACCCCCACCAACTCTGGCCTCTTCACTGACTCCTTCTTCTCATTTGTCTTCACCGAACAAAGCCCTCTTTCCTCCACAGTCCTCTCTTGTAGGAATAATGTCCCCACCCTTGTTGGGAGGACCAACCCTGTGTGGGCTCCCCCAACACTTGTGTCATCTCTAAACCCTCTCCCCAACATCATCAGGAATCTCACTAAAGTTGAGCATCTTTATTGGGGAACCATCTCAGAAAACTCACTGTGTCCTAAAGCAGCCTCATTCCATTCCCTCACTGCTCATGATGTGGGTGTCTGTTCACCAGCATCAGGCAAAACCCTCATTGCTGCCTTCCCTCTCCTCCCACTTCCCCTATGATAGATACCAGGCCATCATCACATTCAGTGCACCTATCTCTTCATTCCCCGTTTTATCTGTCCCCTCATTTTCTCTGTGTGTATACTGAAGCTGCTGCTTCCTTCAACTGGTGAGTTTCTTCATATGTCTCAAAAGATACTGTGCGTGAGAGAAGATATGGTTGGCTTCATCTTTCCTGTCTCCAGCTCATTGGGGGCTCAACCATAATAAACTGCAGGCCATAAAAATGAGTCACCTGTCATTAAGTGGAGCGCCCTTTCCAGTCCAGGAACTCAGACTAAGGAAAGGAATGTTGTCCCGATAAGCGTGGAGGACTTCTGTCTTCAGCAGAGAATGTAACTGGAGCCTATCCCAAGGAAGGAACCTGGGGCTTTGGCAAGCTTTCCTTTCTAAAATAGGGCATGATCACTGTTTGTTGAGGTGGAGCTTGTTTGGCTTTTATTACTTGTTTAAGGCTCTGGATTTTCTCACTACCATCATAATTTCCCAATGAATAAAAATCAGGACCCATCCAAATTCTAATCAATACCTCCAGAACACACAGCTACACACACACACACACACACACAGAGAGAGAGAGAGAGAGAGAGAGAGAGAGAATTCGGTTATTCTTTCTGTAAATATCCCCATTTCCACATACTTTATTTCATTGAACACCTACCATTACATGACATCACCCTAAACAATGCATTCAAGCCAAACTAAATGAGGCAGTTCCAGCCTCAGTTCACTCTTGATGTATACTGTACCCACAAAGGGTAAACTTCATTTTTTAAAAAAGGACATGACATGAGATCCATGATTAAAATTTGTCTGGCTGAAAAATATGGAATGTATTTCTCTGTTCCCTAATACAGGACACATAAAACATTCTGTGTAACAAAATAATTTATCAGCTTCAAAAACGTTGACTTTAGAGTATTGGTGAATGTGTAGACGGGCTAGCCCGCACTGAAAACATAAATATAAAGATAGAAGAGGTGAATTGGAAACAAAGATCATTATATAGCTAGCTGATTCTTTATCCTATGAAGTAGTTGGTATTACCTAGGAAGAATGTCATGGGAGGTTCTAATAGACAGAGAGACATAACTTGTTGGTTGACTGACTAGCTAGAAGAAAATAAAGCTAAATAATGTCCTTTGCATCACAATTGATATTAGCTGAATTAAATTTTCAATCTAACTGCACATATTGGTGTATGCCTATGATCTCAGCCTGGACTACATGGCAACACCTTGTCTCAAAAAAAAATAAAAATGTAAAAAAAAATTAAAGCCTTATTAAGCATGTGCACAAGATTTTAACAATAATGTTAGACTTTTTAAAAAGATATCATTCTTTTTGTAAGTGCCATATCAAATATAATGGGAATATAAGACAATGGATTAAGGAACTTTACTCTGTAAATAGAAAAATACGGTTTGGGTGGGACTGAAATGCCCAGTGGGTCAAGTGCTTTCTCCACAAGTACGAGCACCTGACTTTGGATTCCCAGAACCCACGCAAAAGTCATTTGCTGTGGTATGTGTTTGTATCCCAAGAACTGGGGAGGAGAGAGACAGATGGAACTCCAGAACTGCCTGGCGATGCAGTATAGCTGAGTTGTTGAAATCCAGGTTCAGTGAAACCTTTTCTTAAAAAGTAAAGTAGAGAGCTAGAGAAAGAGACACTTAATAGTTGATCTCTGTCCCCATATGCACATTCATGTATGTGTACCTGAACATATATACAGGAAAACATATATGGACCATATAAAACACACATGCACCCACACACAAGAGAGAGAGAGAGAGAGAGAGAGAGAGAGAGAGAGAGAGAGAGAGAGAGAGAGAGAGAGTCAGTCACCTGGGAAGACTAAACTTCAACTGAGGAATTGCCTCCATCAAACTATCCTATGGACATGACTACATGCCATAATCTTGATGTATGTATTTGGAGGCAGGTCCAGTCCACTGCGGGCAGTGTTATTCCTAGGCAGGTGGGCATGGGCTGTATAATAAAGGTAGCAAGAAAGCCAGAGAAGCAAGCTGGTAAGCTGTTCTTCTTCCATAGTTTTTGCTTCAAGCTCTCGCCTTGTTTCTGACTTGGCTTCCATTGATGATAGACATAACCTGTAAGCCAAATGAGCTCTTTCCTTTCTCAAGTTTCTTTTTGTTTTGGTGTCTTATCACAGCAACAAAAAACTAATTAGGACATACAAACACAACATACACATATACACATACACCATGAAACATATTGAAATTACTACTGAACATAAATTTTATTTATATTTCTCTAAAGAAGATACAAATAGAACAAAGTCCTTAAATACAATACTTGCATTGCACAGAAGGACATGGAAAACACAATGTAGTTCATGGCTGATGTGCTTAAGGATGCTAATTTCCTGTTTCTCTTCCAAAACAGAGATCTAGACCTTAGCTTCTGTTAATACTGGGCAATTTTATCTCTCACAGAAAAAAGGCTTATTTACCAGCTTCCGGTGGGCGCCCAGGTGCTACTAAAGTCATGGTAGTTGTGACTGATGGTGAATCCCACGACGGGTCGAGTCTGAAAGAAGTGATCCAGCAATGCAATGACGATGAGATCCTGAGATTCGGCATAGCAGTAAGTGGCTTCCTTTAGGACACGTCTGATACTCCATCGCTTTCCTGGTTTGTGATTTGTACAGTCTCTCTGCTTCCTGCTGATTTCCAGTCCTGTCAGCTAAAGAAATGGCTGTGGAAATGTTTGCAAGAAGCCCTACGATGATCAGAAATGTACTGCAATGAAGAGAGGGAAACTGAAGTAGAAGAAGAATGAGTGACTTTGTCCTCTCTCTCTCTCTCTCTCTCTCTCTCTCTCTCTCTCTCTCTCTCTCTCTCTCTCTCTCTCTCTTTTTGTCAAGGTTCTTGGGTATTTAAACAGAAATGCCCTTGATACTAAGAATTTAATCAAAGAAATCAAAGCAATTGCTAGTACTCCAACAGAGAGATACTTTTTCAATGTGGCCGATGAAGCAGCCCTGCTGGAGAAGGCCGGGACCCTGGGAGAGCACATTTTCAGCATTGAAGGTAAAAAGGCCTTTCACAGATGTCTCCTTCAAATACTTTTTGTTGGAAGAACTGCTATTTTCATCTAATGTACTTGCTATATGAATATTAGCTCATAGACTGTACATAAAAACTAACTCAAATATGTGAGCAAGAAAGATAGACAAAACACATGAATAAACAATTTATAAGAGAAATGTTAAGTGATTAGCAAACAGAAGAAAACTGTGACTCCAAACACTTTTGTGTTTTACCTATAAAACAAAACATCAATACTGTTTAATTTTCCAGAAGTCTCTGAGGTGCAAAGCTCACACATGGTTAATAAGATGACAATTTTTTTTTCAATTTTTGAGAGAACAATCTGGCAACATCTATTATAACCATAGATTTTTTTCTTCGTAAGTTATGTATGTCACATATTCTTGAACTTGTTTCTAATAAACATATATACCTTTAAAATAGTGGAAATGCATAGCGATCTCCAGCAGTTTAGTTGGGGAAAATACTTTCCTGATTGTAGCTCTAATGATGCATTTCCATGGCCTTGTGACATCCTCAGGGCAGAACTGTCAGTTATGCAAACAGTCAGGACCTGGAGAATTGGAGCACTCCTTGCAGTTGGTAAAGTGTCTCACATAACCCAAATCCTTGTTCTAGGAACTTAACCCAGATAACTCAGCAATAAAGTCGGTGATTAATCGTGTACTTACATATCAGGTCCTGCCTTAGAAGCTGCCTTCAAATGTATTACAAAGGTTTCCACTGTCATAATCCAACCTTGATCTTCTGATGGTGCACCAGAAATTTCTAACCCTCTGCAAATTTTATTGCGGAGGCATGGTATTTCTGACTTATTTAAATCACCACCAAGAACTAAGGTCTCCTGCAAAAACACAAAACTACTAAGGCATCTGTAGTAGCAAATTTGCTCCAAGTCCATGAGTAAGAGTAATTGCAGTGTAATTTAAGGCTAACTTAAAATGATTTTGGACATTTTTTGTTGTTGAAGACTTTGAGGAACATAAAACTATTTTTTTGTTTGTTTGTTTTTCAAGACAGGGTTTCTTTGTAGCTTTGGTGCCTGTCCTGGAACTAGCTCTTGTAGGCCATGTTGGCCTCGAACTCACAGAGATCCTCCTGTCTTTGCCTCCCGAGTGCTGGGATTAAAGACATGTGCCACCATTGCCTGGCTCATAAAACTATTTCTCCCTCAAACTGTCTCTATGCAATCAGTGTTGATTATTATTATTTGTAATTTTTTAAAAAAGAAAACAAACTATATTTTTTCATTATACATACCAATCAAAGTTCCCACTCCCTCCCCTCCTTCCCTTCCCTCCACATTCCCTCCACCCCAACCCCATCCACTCCTCAGAGCAGTTAAGACACATTGCTTTGGGGAAGGTCCAAGGCCCTCTCTGCTATATCTAGGCTGAGCAAGGTATCCATTCAAAGAGAATAGGTTCCCAAAAGCCAGTACAAGCAGTAGAGATAAACCCTGGTGCCACTGGGAGCGGCCCCTTAGCCTGCCCCAGCCATGCAACTGTCAACCACATTCATAGGGACTAGTTTGGACCTATGTTTGTTCCTTCCCAGTCCGACTGATGTTGATGAGCTCTCATTAGCTCAAGTAAACTGTTTCAGTGGATGATGTCCCCATCATGGACTTGATCTCTTTGCTCATATTCTCATTCTTTCTGCTCTTCAACTTAACTTTAGGGGCTCAGTCCAGTGCTCCAATGTGGGTCTCTACCTGTTTTCATCAGTTGCTAGATGAAGGAAGGTGCAATGGTGATATTTAAGATATTCATCAGTCTGGCTACAGGACAAGGCCAGTTCCAGCACCCTCTCTTCTGTTGCTTAGGGTCTTAGCTGGGGGCAAGGAGAACTTGATGGAATGGGATAGTCGAGCTGGAAGAAGGACAGAAATGAGAGCAAGGAAAGAGATATCTTCATTGAAGGAGCCATTATGGGGTTAGCAAGAAACCTGGCTCTAGAGAAATTCCCAGGAACCCACAAGGATGACCTCAGCGTTATTATGTCTCCTAAGCAAGAGGAGCCCTCACAGTAGTATAGTTTGTGCTATTGAAGTGTCCATGGAGGAACTTGGCTTGCTTTTCATGAGCATTATTGAAACACGACCACCCCGAACCCTGCTGAAAAGAACGTGCCTACCAATAAAGTTCTGCGGTGTTGGACAGCGACTGATGCTTCAGTGTGATCAAAACAAATTTCCCAGCTAGTAAACTCTTTAGTCTTGAGTCCTGGTTTCCAAGAGCTGACACAGGTCTCCCTCAGTCCAGTCTATGGTACAAACTAATCACCAGTTCTTCCAGTGCATCTGAAGTATTTGTGCATCAGGAGCATTAATATTTAAAAGCAAAAGTCACATAGTTGCTTAGCTAGTAGTGATAAATTCACAGAATATCTTGATCTCAGTTTTTTCCCTTAACTAATGTGCTTTCTTTCTTTAATCTAGTTTGATATCAGAAATGGCATAAATATTACACTAGGTTAATTAATACTTAATGGGGATCAAAGCCAATTTTGAACACTTCTTTGGATACTTTCTTAGTAATTTACTCATCCTAGAATCCTCTAGGTTATAGCTGTATATTAACATAAGAACATGTGTGTGCACACACTGAGACAATGGGGATGTTCTATCGAAAACTCATCAAGGCCAGCTGGCCTAGGTATGAAAAAGCCTGGGTTAAAACTGGTCTCGCTGAACATAGCGGACAATGAGGACTACTGAGATCTCAAGAACAATGGCAATGGGTTTTTGATCCTACTGCACTTATTGGTTTTGTGGGAGCCTAGGCAGTTTGGATGCTCACCTTACTAGACCTGGATGGAGGTGGGTGGTCCTTGGACTTCCCACAGGGCAGGGAACCCTGATTGCTCTTCGGGCTGACGAGGGAGGGGGACTTGATTGGGGGAGGTTTAGGGAAAGGGGAGGTGGCGGTGGGGAAGAGACAGAAATCTTTAATAAATAAATAAATAAATTTTAAAAATGTGTGTGTGTATGCATGTGTGCATGCTTACTTGCCGGTGTGTGTCCATGTGTGAAATTTGATTTTAAATTGCTGACAATAATGTAATTTTAAAAAATGATGTTTTCCAGGTACTGTTCAAGGAGGAGACAACTTCCAGATGGAAATGTCACAAGTGGGATTCAGCGCGGACTACTCTCCTCAAAATGTGTGTCTATCAGATAAGTTTAAGCCAATACTTGCCAGAACACACACAGACACAATAGTTTCGACCTAGTAGGAAAAACAGCCATCCCCCGAGCAGTGCAGTGATTCACATTCCTGGGCTCAGTTACTAAGCTTTAAAACAAAAAGCAGTTAAATTCTTCCTTCCCTGTGTCAGAGGAAAATACCTTTTATAATAAAGGCCTTGAATTCCCTATGGCAAAGACATTCTACTAATTCCAGGCATCATCCTTATAAGAATTTCATGGGAATCAAAACCTTTTGGTCCCTGACACAGTTACATTTTACATTGCCACAGTATCGTTTTTGAAGAACACAGAGAGAGAATTATTGAAAATGGGCAATTTGTAAAACCAAGTCCACTGTTTTGGTAGCTTAGCTTTTGAGTTCTTTCTGGTACAGACCTAAGGGATATTTCTTGTTCTCAGAATTCTGCCCAGACATTTGGGGAAAATGAAACACAAAGCAGTACAAAATTTTTGGAAATATGTAGGAATTAATTTGAAATCAGAGAGTGATAAGCAGATCCAAGGACCAAGAACAGCTCCCCCTCTGCCTCCTCTCGTGTTACTGATTCAACAACCCTTAGAGATGTTGAAAAAAAAAGAATTAATTCCTATAAAAATGATAAATGAATACAATTTTACACAAGTATTCCACACAATTCCACGAGTTTACTGCCCATTTACTGGAGCCCCTTCTGAAACCCCCAGCTTAGAGTTTGTGCTTACAATTATGCTTATTCTTAAAATCTTATATTTTTCCTCAGAATGGGATGTTTTTCCATATTTGTTACTTTTTGACCCCACATCATCATATCCTTGTTTCCTTACACCAAAAAAAAAAAAAACTTGACAATTACATCCTTTATTCTGATCAAACCTGTATTCTTAAGGACTTGTAGCCTTTGATATTTAAATTAAGTTTGAGCCAATGCAGAGGCCCCTGATCTGTTTGATCCTCCTATTTATGACTTAGGCTTTGCTTTCTGTTGACTACATTGACTCTCACAGCTACAGGTGAGTTTTCTGGCTGTGCTATGATTAAACCCATGGGACATAGGGGTGCAGATGCCAGAACATTTGAAAAGAAGAATGAAGCACTGTGAAGGCTAGAGCAATAATTCAGCAGGGAAGAGCTTGTTGGACAAGCATGAGATCACACGTACAAATCCCAGGACCCACAAATCAGGAAGGAGCCCATGGTTGCCCATGCATCTGTAACCCTCCCTGTGGGAAGCACATAGCAAGGAGGAACATTGCCGGTTGCTGGTCGCTATCTTTGCTTTAGCTTCACTGAGAGACTCGGTGTCAAGGAAATGAAGCAGAGAGGGATAGCGCAATGCAAACAATGTCCTCCTCTGGCCTCTCTGTGCACAAGCATGCCCATCCAAACGTGCAACTCATACTGCAAGTGTGCAAAGAAGAGAGTTGAAAATGCAACAGGTCATGGGTCTCCCAGGACATGCTAGGGAAGAGCAGCATCCCCTCCCGCCGCGCTCCTCTGAGGTCAGCACTTTCTACTGCTTTAGTGTATCTCATATTCATCATGAGCCTTTCCTGTGAATGTGTGGGATGAGAAGTTCTCATCTGTTTCTTCCATGAGTTCTGAAAGGCACAGCATTTGCAAATGTGTGCCTTTGAATTGAACATGACTATGCATCCATCCTGTACCATGACCTATTGCAACGATTTTTTCATAAAGCATTATAAAAAGTTCTCCCAAGACAGCCTAGCCCAGTGGTTCTCAACCTTCCTAATGCTGCGACTCTTAATACAGTTCTTCTTGCTGTGATGACCCCCCAATCATAAAATTATTTTCATAATCTAACATGCGGGGAGTCTTAGGTAACACCTATGAAAGGGCACCCCCAATGGGGTCAAAACTCATGGGTAGACTTGTTCTCCAGTAAAATCAAAACCTTTCTAAGATACATATTTAGTTTTTACTGTACAAATTTCCTTAAATTTTGATAGTTTATGCCTGAATTCCTTTGCATTAAAGGCGATTTGTCTCAATCTTCATCTCTTCCATTCTTTCAGGATATTTTGATGCTTGGTGCAGTGGGCGCTTTTGACTGGAGTGGAAGTGTTGTTCAGGGGACATCTCATGAGCACTTGATCTTTCCTAAGCAAGCCTTTGACCACGTTCTGCAGGATCGGAACCACAGTTCGTTTTTAGGTGAGACACAACAGTGGTGGGCTGGGACAACTCAGGTTCTTCTTCCTTAAACTCTAACTGAACTGTCCTCTGAACTATCCTCTGCTTATGTGTTTATAATCAGACCTCAGCCCATAGGTAAGGAAAGCTGAGTTTTACACACAAATCTCTGTAGATGTCTGCTAAGCTCATATGTTCAATGATGTTATTTAACTCCACTGCTTCTAAAACATACAAATCTGTTCAGACAGATATTCCTGGAACGTGGCTGTTTCTTCAAAACAGAAGTTGTTCCTAAAAGGCGATATACTAACTAGTGTCCTTTTATTGTTTTAGAGTTCTTAGGGGTTTTGATTGTTTCTTGGTTACTGTGGTTACCATATGATAAGCATCCAGTGATGTTCAGTACTTGCTGTGCGGTATTATATTCCATCCTTCCATAATCCTTTGAGAGCCTGGGACCTTAATAACTTCTATCAACTTCAACAGCTTAGCAAATGATAAATCCAGAATTCAAACCTAGAACTCTATAATTCCAGGACCTGCGTTCTTCCCATGAAGCAGCGTTATCATTTAAATTCATTTATTCATTCATTAAACATTTTTTAAAGGCTACTGTCTTTGCTTTGTTCCTTGTTGCTATAATAAGATACATTAACAAAGGAAATTTAAAGAAGAAAGAATTTATTTGGCTCATAGGGTACAGGGGAAATCAAGGCAGCAGGAGCTTGAAGCAGTCTAATACCCTCTAGATAGGCCCAGGGGGAACACTTCATCTAGACAGCTCTCCACTGAAATGCTCTTCTCCAGTAGAAGTAGATGGTATCAAGTTGACAGTTGATATTAGCTATTAGCCACGACTATAGGTAGTTGAGAACAACCCAGGATCAAGGGACAGCTTCATCCATTGAGGTCCTGTCTACGGTAATCAGAGCTACAACGAAAGGTCAGGACGTCACTTCTAACACCAAGACTTCTGAGCATCTCTGCTTCCTTGAAAGCCCTCTCTGGCTGGCACAATTAATGGTGCTTAACCTAGAATTCCTTCTCTCCTAGGTTACTCTGTGGCTGCAATTTCTACTGAAAAGGGTGTCTACTTTGTGGCTGGTGCTCCGAGGGCAAATTATACTGGCCAGATAGTGCTGTACAATGTTAACAAGGATGGCAATGTCGCAGTGATTCAATCTCACAGAGGGGACCAGGTAAATATCACCACCGAGTGAGTGAAATTCATTTCAGGGATAACTGGGGCAGGTGGACAGTTGAGTAGGTGGAGTGGAAACTGGTGCGTACTGAGTGGCTCCTCTGGGAATGTCGTCTGAATTGACTCATGTCTACGCTAAGTCCCAACAACACAAGGTTCACTGGGATTAAATCCGATCCTGCTATTGCCATTGATTTTATAGGTGTAAGAGAACCACAAACCACAAACTGGTAGGTACTAGATCCTGCATTTGCTTCCTCTTTAGTGGTTTAAAGAAGATTCTTTCTATTTTGAGGAGAAAAAAAAACAGTGACAGTGTTGCAGAAGAAATAAATCACTGATTAATTTTTAAATTCTTAATAAGTATTTGCACAGGCACTCACTGAATATCGATGGATAGGATGGTATTCAGATGCCCCCCTTCTAATTTTACCTCATTTCCACCTAGTTCTCCCATCTTTCCCTCCTGGGAACATCACCTGTGCTGGACCGTGCCACTGGCATTACGTTGTTCATGTTTCCCTTTATCTAGAAAACTCCTTTTGTCCTTAAGTTTCTACTCAGATGATCCTCTCCTCCCTGTCCCCTCCATCCCCCTCCCTATGTTCTGATAAGGTATCCTTATTACAACAGTTTCTGCTTTGTGTTGTTTTTCATGGGAACATGGTTATTTGCGGCCCTTGGCTGGCCCTAGCCCACCTGTCTTTGTCTAAATCACAGCTCCCGTAGCTATTAAGGGTTCCTCTTCTGAATGTGGCCTCTGGCTCACTGGCCTCAGAAATACCCAGAGTTACATGTGCTAGAATACATATGTGATTATATGACTCTTGAGATTAATATGCTTTGCTACTCCAGATTGGCTCCTATTTTGGTAGTGTGCTATGTTCGGTTGATGTGGACAGAGACACCATTACAGACGTGCTCTTGGTCGGTGCTCCCATGTACATGAATGACCTCAAGAAGGAAGAGGGGAAAGTCTACCTGTTCACGATCACAAAGGTAAAATTAAGCATTAAACAGACAGCTTAATTGACTCTAGTACTGATAAATAGGTTAATCTGAAATTTGAAGGAAGGTTATTATTTGGAAATAATTGCTAATTTTCATGCATAGTGTGGCATGTATTTAATCAAATTCAAGGTATCACCATTACTACAATTTTTTAAATGCATTAAAAGGCATGAAGTTTAATATATAGTGTATCCTATTTTCCATGAGAGGTCTGTGGGTATGTGTTCCTATTCACATAAAGTCATTATAAGTACAAATAATTTTTGGCATACACAGACTTATAAATGCTGGTTCATTTTTAAAGCACCTTGTGGCATTTCTTTGAAATGATAGTAACCACTGGGCGTGCTGACCTCTCTATCTCAGTCACTTGTCCTAGCCACTCCGGCAACCTCCAGATGACCCAGAATACTTTCTACATTAGCCTGTCAGAAAATTCCAGTGCTTAGTGTCACACTTAGGTGAACGTCCAAGTTTTGGAATTTCAGATCCCTGCCATAAAACCGAGCTGACTCAAAGAGAGAAAGCATCATTTTTCCAACTTGTAGACAGAACTCTAAATCCATTTCAGCAGGAATCTGGAGCTCAGCAAGGACAGGAGGAAAAGCAAATGAAAGACAGTGGTTGCCATAGGAAACCAGATAGGTATAGGGGGCAGGGAGAGCTCTGCTTAGTCATTGATACTTACTGTATATTGATGCAAAAACTGACCCGTTAACAGAACCAGTGAAAATAATAGTCTGCTGGGAAATAATGTGATTGTTAAGAAATGAACCCAGGTCCACTGCAAGAGCAAAAAGTGTTCTTAATCACTGAGCGTCCCTCCGGGCCCAGCAACACTATCTCTTAATGCTTTATATAACCCAGTTTGAGAAATGAGTCTCTATGAAACTACTATAAACTAGAGAGAATCACACTGACCCAGTTTCTTGGTTGAGGCACTTTGCTACCTTGCAAAGCCATTAAATATTTCCATACTGGAGCACCCAATCTGAAGGAAAAGCCTTTATACGGAAATGTCTTTTCCCTTTGCACAGAATCGTTTAGTGTTGCCTGTCTTGTCGTGGAATGACAGCGACTTCGTTTTCCACTAGGAAATGGAAACTATAATTATATTTACATGTAATATAATTATAATTATGTCACTGTCCAGCATCAGTAAGATCTAAAATAACGGGCTCCCTTGTGCTTTGTACCTACTTTAGCTTCATTCACAATATTAGCCTTTCACCAGAAGTTTTTAAATCAAAGATTTGGAAAGACATGACAGTCCCAAAAATGAGAAAAAGTAGAGATAGAGGACCAAAAATCTAATGTAGGTTTTTTTGGGTACAGAAAAAGAGAATTATTACCTCCTTTAATCTTGGCTTAGGAGCTGGTCTCTTGTGACCTGGATTGATGAAATTTTTATTTGTAAATCTCATCACACAATCATCATCAATTCTAAGATTAAAACCCTATCCATTTTCATGTTTTGAAATCTTGTGCATAGGTTGCTTTGAATTTATTATTATTATTAGTAGTAGTAGTAGTATTAGTATTAGTATTATTATTATGGGTTTCTTTTGAGACAGGGTTTCTCTGTGGGACTGACTGTCCTGGAACTCACTCTGTAACCAGACTGGCCTCAAACTCACAGAAATTCACCTGCCTCTGCCTCCCGAGATTAACGCTCTGTGCCGCCACCACCTGAGAGTTGAGAGTTTTGTGTAACAGTGCCTTCTTTCTTTGCAAGGGCATCTTGAATCAGCACCAGTTCCTTGAAGGACCTGAAGGCAGTGGAAATGCTCGCTTCGGTTCAGCGATTGCAGCCCTTTCAGACATCAACATGGATGGCTTTAATGATGTGATCGTAGGTTCTCCTGTAGAGAATGAGAACTCTGGAGCGGTGTACATTTACAATGGTCACCAGGGTACAATTCGCACCAAGTATTCCCAGGTAACCATGAACAACGTGAAGACTGGGTTCATAAATGCTAGCGCTAGACAGTGTCGTCCAATCTGTGCCTTTTACCTTAAATCTGTGCTCTTTCCATTGAAAAAACAGTAAAGTTTTACTCTATGTTGAACACTATTCTAGTTCTGAGAATGATGTACAGAACAAGACAGACAAAATTCTGCTTTTTGTTGATCTTATATTCTAAAAGAAGAAATATGAGTAAAAGAAAAAGTTGCAATGTTATAGATAATAACAAATGCCAGGGATCAAACATAGAACTTAATTCAGAGGGAAATTTTCAAGTGTTATGTATTATTCAAGTATTGAGAGGCATATCAGAGGACCAAAGGATGGTGAAGAACGCCTCACTAACAGGCAATTTTGTGACGTCTTAAGGAAAGCTTGCTAGGATAGGAATGAAGACCTGAACTTGTCTCATTCCTAGCCCACTGACTTCTCGCCATTTTGTACTGCCTTGTGATTACACATGAAAGATCCACACTGCTTCCTTGATGAAAGAATCCTTGTAAAAGACAGAGATCAGATTAAATACAGAGAAAGAAACCAATAGAATAACCTGAACAATGACCACCTAGAGAATGTGAGGGGCAGGATAGAGACTGTCATTCTGAGTCTGCTGTGTGTACTACAACTTCAAGTGAAATCTGCCCTTCCAGAAAATCCTTGGATCCGATGGAGCCTTCAGGAGCCAACTCCAGTTCTTTGGAAGGTCCCTGGATGGCTATGGAGATTTAAATGGAGATTCCATCACTGATGTATCCATTGGTGCTTTGGGACAAGTGGTTCAACTCTGGTGAGTCACTAAGTGCAAGATTCGGACTCGCTAATCAAAATGACCTGCTGTGTTGTATGATGTGTGTAGTGCCCAATGTATTGTATAAGACTGTAGGAAATGTGTTCATCATGGTTTGCATAAAGGAAAGAATATGCATGGTTTTCCTGAGAGTTGGGGGAATACATATGTGTGTGTGAGTGTGTGTGCATGCATGTACATGTATGTGTGTGTATATATGTATATGTACACACATATATACATATATATGTATATATAAAATTTGCTGACAGGCATGTATCTTTGGCATAAACACATATAGATGCATATGTGCAATACATATATATAGAGAGAGAGGTTTCTTTATCATTAGAGTTATGCTTTTCTTCTTATGTGAAGAGTCAGTGTAAAGAAAAGACAGTCCTTGAAATGATATCATACATGTCATACATGTTTCTAAACATTATTTTCTTACATACAGCCTCCTTTCAGCTTCCAGTCAGGAAACCTCATGAGAAAAATCTTACAGGACACAAATAAAGTGAAACTTCGTATGTGCTTAAAGGCATATTTTAAAATCATTAGTCATAAACAAGATCCATTATTTGGGCTGAGCTGACCTCTTCATTGCCTGCATGGGTGTAAAGTTGAAGGAACAAGAAAGGATTCAAAGAATATATGGTTCAGGGTTTTAAAAATTAGGTCTATGAAGGGCAGGCTCACATGGTTGAAGAACCTGCTATTCAAGCATGAAGACCTGAGTTCAATCCCCAGAACCCATGTCTAAAAGCCAGACATAGCTAGGTGAGGTAGTTCATGTCTTTTATCCCAGCGCTTGGGAGGCTGACGTGGGTGGGTCTCTGTGAGTTTGAGGCCAGCTTGGTTTACATAGAGTGTTCCAGGCCAGCCATAGCCATATAATTAAATGGTGGTGGCACACGCCTTTAACTCCAGCATTAGGGAGGCAGAGGCAAGTGGATCTCTGAGTTCAAGGCCAGCCTGGTCTACAGAGCAAGTTCCAGGACAGGCTCCAAAGCTACACAGAGAAACCCTGTCTCAAAAAGCCTAAACAAACAAACAAACAGTCATAATGTCATGTACGTGATGATGAGGCAGAGAAAATGCCTGGAGCTCACTGGCCAGCTAGCCTTGACTAACTGTCAAGTTCTGGGGCAGAGAGATCATATCTCAATCAATAGACCAACATTGACCACTGGCATCCAGATGCACATGCCCCATACATACATGTACCTACACACACACGGAGAGAGAGAGAGAGAGAGAGAGAGAGAGAGAGAGAGGAATTGAAAAGAAATTGATTATTCAGTCAAGAATACTCATGCATTCATTTTTTCTCTGCTGAAAATATATGCTTTACTGTCCAGACATACTGGGAATAGAAACAGTTCATGGACATTATATGATTTCTGAGTCTGATGCTACTCTGTAGACATGTGAATTGTGCTTTTCAAGAGTAAAATGCAATTTTTTTGACAAGTGAAACTGTTATATGGAAAACCAATAATAGCTTTAAGACTGAGAAACTAGAAAATGCATTTACTGAATAAAGTTAGTTAAAATAATTAAAGAATAGCATGCTAGGAATGTTACAGAGGTTATGTGGCTTCATTTAAAATAATGTATCAAAGCACATACCTGGCAGCCAAAGGCACTGTGCAAGCCTCAAGGCACGCTTTCCCATGTGGTGCCTTTGTATCTACTTATACTGTGGCATTGTTGAGTCAGTGATGCGACCAAGCTTCTGTTTTAAAAGGTGCATCTGATTCTTCAGAAAAAGTCAACACACACGGACTCAAGTAAATGTGCTGAGCTGACTCGTCAAGCTAAGCTAATATTCTGTGGTCACATTCCTACGAAGTGCTGAACTGCTTTTTCTGGATAACTCTAGGAATAATGTCCAGTAAATTTGTAAAAACATGTAAATCAGTGTCATCTGTATTAGGACGAATGTTCGGTCCCTCAAATAGTTGTGCTAAAATTGAATTAAGCATTAGATTGTAATTGAAGCCATGTTACATTTCTTAATAGATGCGTCATGGCTGCATATTAAAGAGGCATCACGGATACATAGTAACTTTTGGAACAGTCTTTCCAGTGATACCTGAAAATCAAAAAGAAATGTTGTCTGGGTCTTTTTGTGGTACTTTTCCAAAGGGTGATATGTCTAATCACTGCTTGCTGCCCTATAAATAGTGGAAAGTGTACACAGAGGTCATTATTGTGAAGTTCAAAATCCAGTAATAGAGAGACTCAGACTATAGTCAGCCTTCAGGTCTCCATTTCTCAGTCATTTTCGTTAATAAAATGGAACTAGAATTTGTTCAACTTCACACCAATGTTGAAGGAGCAAATAAAACTGTCTTGGGTATACAAAGGGAACACCAGGACAGGAAACTCTGGCATCAGTGATGGACTCATAAGCCATATTCTGCCCTCATGGTAGTCGCCACCATCATGGACAGGTGACATTAACCACAGAGGCAGCGAGGCACAGGACATGGCAATATTCATCAGCTCTGGCCCCTCCATCTTCCCTTCTCTCTCTCCTGCCATCTCAAGAAGCAAGAGTGGCACCGACCTCAGGGGGAAGACACAGAGGGGTCCTGACTTAACACTTCATTTGCAAACACGTTTCCGGTTTCTATTCTGTGTGGGTTCAAGTGTTATTTAAATATATATTCTGCAGGCTCGAGTTACCAACAAAAGTCCATTGACCCCTGCTACTATCTTCTGCTTTCAAACAGGAAAAGCTTCTCAAGGTCTAAGACAGTAGAGAGAAAAATTCAGCAATGCTGGCCCTGGGTCCTTTATGTGAAGTTCATGTGTATGCAGAGAGGTACACGTGTTTCCACCTATGTCTTTCAGGTCCCAAAGCATTGCTGATGTGGCTATAGAAGCATCATTCACTCCCGACAAAATCACTTTGCTTAACAAGGATGCTAAGATAACCCTCAAACTCTGCTTCAGAGCAACGTTTAAACCTACTGGGCAAAACCATCAAGTGGGTGAGTTTTAAATAGCCCAACAAGAATGGCTTTGCCTCTGCAGCTTTAGCTAGAGGTCTTGGCCTGCAGACCAGAAGAAATTAGGATCTTTACTGGATGTGCTTAAACTGCCATGCATTCAGTGCCTAAGAGTAGGGGGAGGTTTGTTTGGAGCGTCCTTGCTCAGCCCCAGCTGGTGGCATTCTGCTGCAGAAGACTATAATCACTATGGCATAATCATGGGCTCTGCCTGAGTCTCTCCAACACACGGGTCCCTTCCGGAGATCCTCAGCACACATGAATTTCCTTGAACTATGGCAAGTTCTAAATGATGAGTCACCTACTGCCTATGCCGTTGCCTACATAGGTGTGTTTAATAAGAGCACTGAGTATTATCCCTTTATCCGGGAAGAGGAAAAAGAGAAAGGAATATTCAACTTGTACCCATAGCTTTACCATTTCCATAGTATGAGTCTGCAGTGTGTCTCATGGGGAGGGAGAAAGCACGGGCAGGATGGTGGGCAAATGTCAGCAGGAACTCTCATCCCGTCTCTCCTACAAAGACACGTCATCTCGCAGGACCCGGGTGAGGTGTCGCCTCCTCTTTGACGCCATTCCTAACCAAACAACTACCTCTGTTATCTCAGCATCCTCCAGAGACAGCAAGCCAAATAACATCTCATGAAAAGCTGCCTGTTTTCCCTTGCTAATCTATGGATTCTAATCCCTCCTCCATCAGACCCCGGCTCTTTATTTCAGAACTCTTAGTTCCCAGTGGCACTTAACGAAACTGCAAGTAAATTAACTTAAAGGCTGAAAACAGTCAGGTCAGTAGTTTGTCATAATTACTATCAAGAAATACATGAGCAAGGAGAGGAGCCAAAGTAAGATTCATAACTGGCATAGCTTCCGGACTCCCTGACTCTCAGGTGTTCAAACACTGACCCACCTTTGCATGGCATACCTCATAGGCCTGCCTTGGAGCACACATCCCTCTGAGTAGCCATCATAGTTAAGCTGAAAACTGCCACCATATAAACATTTTTAGGCTGCTCAAAAGATTAAAATGGAAAATGTGTTCTCTGACACATGTGGCTGGCTGCCCAGCTACCTTGGCCCTAAAGCACGTATATGCCTTATGCGTCTTCCATATTTTGAATGTTCTTCATATATTCTGCTGGCACATACTGAAAAACCTGTACCTGCAGAGAAGTCCCTTCCCACTGATTGGCTGGTGAGGGTTTGGGCCTTTCCTTGTCATTGGGAACTCTTACCTTTGACTCTTATCTTGCTGTGTTCAGGTCTACACTGACAAGCTGGTCATAATTTTTCAGTCTGTTGTTTGACAATAATCGTGCACAAGAACAAAATCCCATCTTTAAAACTGCATGACCTATGAAACTACATATTTATTTTTATCAAGCTACTTTTTAAAGAAAAAGTACACAAAGTGTGCTAACTTTGCCCTTTTGACTGTTACCTAGACCCTGTTATTAGTTTTTCCTTTCCATACTTTTTATCATTTACTTTTAGTCTGCCCATTCAATTCTTTCATATTTCAATATCATTATTTATCTCTTTAAGTCACTGAAGCACAAAAATTCCTCAAGGTTGTTTAATGGGGATATTAAAGGTAACATAGATATATATTGTCTTAGAGGTACACTCAACTTTAAAATATTGAATAAGTCTGATAAAGTAATTCCAAATAAGTCAGCTTCTGTAACCATAATTCTGGTGTGTGGCCCGTGGGCTTTCTTAAAGGACGCTGGTCTGACTATTTAGACTTTGGTTACAGTCATCATTTTTCATCACACAGCTGTTTTTCATTTCCACTTTCCTGAGTTGATATTAATAATTTCTAATTGCCAGAGAAACCGCGAACCGAAGAGGGTAGACAAAGTGCTCACTGTAGGATGACTGTTCAGCCTAAGAATATCTGGCTCAAACCTTGGAGCAGCCATGTTGCGCGTCTTTCTCCATGCAAGCATCTAGAACACAGCAGATACTGTATCCGCTCTTTTATGTGATCACAGTTACTTCTTATAATAACAGTTAGAGTAATGGCGTGGGAGTAGAAAGAACATGAACTTCCATTTCTTAGCTCTGACTTCCCGATCTTAGCTCTGACCTTGTCTCCGCTGGGTGAACCCATGCCAATTATTCTGCCTCATCTCATTGAGCTTGCTCTCTCAACAGCAGCAGCAGGCTATCCAGTGTCCGGTTTTACTGGAGAGTGGGTAGCGTATGAGGGTGTGTTCAACTGGAGGCATTCCATAACGACAGCTTCTTCCCTGTGTGTGCCCCATGCTATGGTAGATGAAGCTAAAACACAGGAAAGGGATCCGTTTTCTAGGTTTATCCAATAGATTTTCGGGGGCCAGTGCAACTGTTGTTGTTTTCCGTTGCTGCAAGATGTATTTCTTGGCTCGTTTCTGTTTTTGCTCTGTATTCACGTAGACCGAATCACATGAGACATCTCTGCATTTTCTCGATATCAGACTTTGTCCAATAAAGCAAGGCTGTTTTCGTCTTCAGCGCTCACTTGACGTATTTCTTTGTGATTTTATCATAGCCATCCTGTATAACATGACACTTGATGCAGATGGATATTCATCCAGAGTGACCTCCAGGGGGGTATTTAGAGAAAACAGTGAACGATTCCTGCAGAAGAATATGGTTGTATCCCAAGCACAGAGCTGTTCTGAGTATGACATTAGCATACAGGTGAGACCTCAGGGTTACCTCTCTCCACCCCTTTCTTCTGAGCAACTAATGAATCCAGGAAGTTTAAAATGGGAGTTATATGTTAGAAGATGGCTGCATTTCTTGTCTAGCTCTTTGGACAAGAAACACATTTCTGTTATGCTAATACTTATGTTCACATTCTGACTTTATATGTGTTAGGGACATTACATTTTATTAGGGTGTGCAACTAAATGGGCTAAAAGATTGTTAAAGAAAGCAAGCACTGGGGACTAGAGAGATGGCTGAGCTGGTAAGGACACTTGCTGCATAAGCACCGGGACCTGAATTCAAGCCTCCAGCACTTATGTAAAAATGCCACATTTGGCTCTATGAGTGTCTGTAACCCTGGGGCTGGGAGCATCAGAGCCAAGACAATGTCCAACTCCGGGGTCATCTAGAGACAATGATGAAGGAGAAGATCTGATGTCCTCCTCTGGCTTTCACACGTATGTTCACATACACCACACACACATGTGCATGGGCACATGGCACCCCTCTCCACACACATTGAATAAAGAAAATAAATAGATTCATTAAATAAATTTTTTTAAAAAAAATTAAAAGACAGTGTTTTCTTAACTGACTCATCGGGTGAACTTTCCATTGCCAATTTTATTTTGACCTCTCTCCCATCAGGTAAAAGTTGTATAGTCATTTTAAGCTCCTAAAACTGAAAATCTCAAAAGCAGTTTCTATTACTGCTTTACACTGGGTCAGTGGTTCTCAACCTTCCTAATGCTGCAACCCTTTAATACAGTTCCTCGTGCTGTGGTGACCCCAGCCCTAAAATTATTCCATGACTACTTCGCAACTATAATTTTGCTACTATCATAAATCGTTATGTAAATATCTGTTATGTGACCCCCCAAAGGGGTCATGAACCATGGATCAAGAACCACTGCCCTAGGTAAGTGATGGTAGAGTATGTGGTAAAGATCACCTGTTCTACTATTAGGTCATAATTGTTAGAGTTCACATTGATGTGGGAAATCTTTCCTGTAGGAAACATGCTTCTTAGGAGTAACTTTCCAATCAGAAACTTATTTTTTTTAACTTTTATGGTTTATTTAACTTTATTTTTGTGTGCATGAAGGTATCAGATCCCCTGCAACTGGACCTTTGGAAAGTTGTGAGCTGCCATGTGGGTGCTGGGAATTGAACCCAAGTCCTCTGGAAGAGCAGTCAGTGCTCTTAACCACTGAGCCATCTCTTCAGCCCCCAGAAACTTATTTATAAGCTATATGAAATATCTCCCCAAGCAACTCTGTAATAATATCTTAAAAGTAACAGGAGAAGACACCTGCACATGGATGTATACACAAACACACAGACTCTCTCTCTCTCTCTCTCTCTCTCTCTCTCTCTCTCTCTCTCTCTCTCTCTCACACACACACACACACACACACACACACACACACACAGAAAGAAAAGGAGCTAGGAGTGGGGGAGAACAAAAGGTTGAGAGGTAGGTGAAGAAACCAGACAGGAAGGAGGGAGAAGGAACAGGGAAGAAACTTGGCTTCCATTCTTTCCTGACCTTGTCTAATATGGGATCAAGTTACCCATGTAATTACAGGGTTCATGAAGAGAAGAAAGAAGATACTAGGAATGAGAAGCAAGACCACCCAAGTGCTGGGCACTGACATAGGATGTATCATCTAAATACTTATAATTACTCACGTGTGAATAATGAGATTATTTACCATCCTAGGAAGAACTGCTGCTTCAGATTTTTACTGTAATTGAGTCACCTTAGGTTTCTGAATTGGAACCAAAGAGGAAGTCTTGGTCATCAGAATAAGCCTCCTCTCTGTAACTGATGGCACTTTTAATTTTAATCACATTTGCAGACTTTGTTTTGAAGTTCTTATTACTAAGTAATCTATCATCACCCTCCTCCCATCTTTAGAAGCCCTCTGACGTGGTCAACCCTTTGGATCTGCGTGTGGACATCAGTTTGGAAAACCCAGGCACTAGCCCTGCCCTTGAAGCCTATTCTGACACTGTCAAAGTCTTCAGCGTGAGTGTGCCTTGCTCTTCTCAAGTCGAGGTTGGCTAACGGCTTCCGTAGTTGCTGTGGGGTTAAAGGAGCTAAGGGTGCAGTCTCAATGTAATGACGCACAGAATTCACGGGTATTTCAGTTCCACAAATTAGAGATTTCGTCTTCCACACTGTTTCTGGCCCCAGGAGAGGTGCCAAGCCACCGCCAGTGCTCAACAAATGCTTCTTAAAGAAATAAACAATAAATCGGGCCAAACTGCTTGTGCTCAACACTCACTTAAAAATTCAGATGCCTGTGAAGTTGTTCGTCTCTCTCCATTATATCTGTTTTAATTTAATTCCCCATAAACAAGCCATTACAAGTCACACGTGGTGGCACAGGTCTTTCATCCCAGCACTCAGGAGACAGAGGCAGGCGGATCTCTGGCTGGGTTCAAGGCCAGTCTGATCCATAGAGCCTGTTGCAGGATAACCAGAGCTACAGAGAAAAACCCTGGCTCAAAATAAAAACAAACAGACAAACTATCATCTTGAATCTTGTATTTCGCCATATTTGTTTTTTTTTTTAATTTTGCTAACTATACACAAGCTTCTAAAACTTTGATTTCCCGTGGTTTCGGCCTGTAGGCAAACAGGATGATATTGTATACATTCTGTTATATTTCGTTTTCAACCCAAGAGTATCCAAAGAGGATGATGCCTTTGTTTATTTTAGATCCCTTTCTACAAAGAATGTGGCAGCGATGGACTTTGCATCTCTGACCTGCTCCTGGATGTCCAGCAGCTGCCAGCCACTCAGTATGTTCCCTCTTCCTTTCTGTGCAGGGCACATTACATCGCTTCATTGAAGACAAAATTTTGGGTTTGTTTTTCTACAGAGGAAGTTTTCAGAGTATAGTTAAGACATTTTAAAACTGACTTTCAACTTCTATCATTCTCCTAAGAGTAAAGCAGTGAGAAATACCAACTGCTGGCTTTAAGCATTTCTCTTTCCTGCAATAATTAAAAGCCACCAAGGATGAAGTCCAGCATCATTTGCTTACTTGCCAGCATCATTTTACTATGAAGAAAGTCTTTTTGTTATTAAATAATCATCAAGTAAATGCAAAGAATTTCTTGAATCAAGAAAGGTTTTGGACCGTGGGGTAGTTTCAGCTTCAGTGGTTTTATCTGTCTCTCTTTTCGTGTTTGCACAGAAACCAACCCTTTATTGTCAGCAACCAGAACAAAAGGTTAACGGTTTCAGTGGCACTGAGGAACAGAGGGGAAAGTGCCTACAACACTGCCATCAAGGCTGAGTTTTCCGAGAACTTGTTTTTTGCTTCTTTTTCCATGCCGGTATGTAAGGAACCCACCCCTCCCTAACACAAACACATACGCATCCCTGCTGCCCCCCAGCCTCCCCACACTCCCACTAACCACCCCACACAGCATTTTGCCCCTTCCTCTCTGCCACTCGCTGTCTCTGATACTCCAACCTCTGGGTCCTTCAAGCTGTCTGAAAAACCCAGACATGGCCTGGGCATGCTCAGTCCTACCTTGTGGCTTCCAGTTAGTGAAGCCTCCTGAGAATGCAGTCTGGCTCCGAATCTAGGGCAGCTCTGTTTGCAGCGAGGGTCACTTTTTCCTTTACCCCAGGCCTTGGCAGTGGCAGCTCATAACTTCTCCAGCCTTCTATGCTGTGAGGAGGCCTCCTGTCCTGTGCTGGACAGATGTGATGCACTTGCTCAGTGTCATCCAGTCCCACCACATAGTCCTGGCTTTGCAATGCTGCTACTTCTGGAGCCAGGATGGTGCATTCCTGCAAAAGCATTCTATCGAGCTGACCTGATCAATAAAGCAGGAATACACTTAACCAGAAGAGCCCCTTGCTGATTCCTCTGTTCTCTGGCCATGACCTGAGGGAAAAAAAAAAGGAAAAAGCTATTTTTCAACTGGGTTGCTTGATTAAAGGATATGAAAAAGTTTCTGTATATTTCAAGTTAATGTGAACTTTATAGATTTAAAATTCCAAGCCTGTGCTGACTTCATGTTTAAATGGCCTGTGCCAGACAGCAGCCCTTACATTAAAGACAAAATGAATTGAGAAAAAGTGGCAAAATCTGCTAGTTATTTAAAACACAAATGTGTATTTTTTTCTTTTAAAAATATGCATTTCAAAAACATTATGAAAAAAGTATTACTAAATATAAGACTTCTGAATGTTAATATTAAAGATATTTATGCTTCTGAAATACTAACATTGATTTGCATCTAAGTGCACATTTCCCTAATCCTTTACCTTCTTGAGTGTCTCTTTAGAGTTGGCAATAATAACAACATGTTTAACCACTTGGCTAATACAAGATATTCAAGTCTTTGAGAGCAATTGGTTTCTATTCCAATAGAAACCAACATCACTGCTAAGATGTCCTTGTCTACTTTTCAATGTGGGTATACACACACACACACACACACACACTTAGTTAATTTTCACTTCTTTGGTCCTCTTCAGGTCGACGGAACAGAAGTAACATGCCAGGTGGGCTCATCGCAGAAATCTGTTACCTGTGATGTGGGATATCCTGCCTTAAAGAGTGATGAGCAGGTACAGCTTGCCTCGTCTAACCCTGGCTCTCCACACCTGAGGGTACTCTCTGTCTTGACCGGGCCTCATCACTCAACAACCAGGCACATATGGAAGGGGCTCCCTCACTGGGGTTATTCTCTTTAAATCATTAGCCAAAGTAGCATTTCCTCATGCACCTCCGTCCAAGCGCACAAGCAATATGCAATGCTCTTTTGTGTGACTGTGTTGACCAACATTGGTCGCAGTGCTGTAAGTGAATATCAGATCACCACAAAGCCTGACCGTCCGACAAATGTAGCCGGATGGCCTGAACATCTGATAGGCGTCGACCTCTGCTCTCAGGTGAGCAAGGGGGACGGACACAAGTGGTCTACAAACTTAAAATTTTAGCACATGAAATTCAGAGTCACACTTGGCTGGGGAACTTTCGTCCTGGTCTAAAACATCACAGATGATGAATTTTAATGTCGTATTTAGGTGACTTTTACCATCAACTTCGACTTCAACCTTCAAAACCTCCAGAATCAGGCAACCATCCGTTTCCAGGCCTTCAGGTAAGACACGGGGCAATCATAAACTTATGCCCAGGAAATTTTATAAAATTTCTTTTTAAGTAATTTCTAATACTTGTTTTGATAGTGAGAGCCAAGAAGCAAACGAAGCAGACAATTTGGTCAGTCTCAAGATCCCTCTTCTGTATGATGCCGAACTTCACTTAACCCGGTAGGTGAAGTCGGCTAGACGGGCGGGTAGCTTTTTACACCCTGGTACATAGACCATTGAGCTCATGACTACAGTCCACAATTGGCTCAGTCTTAGCGCATGAATTTAGTGCCTACTTGTCAACTAGATTAGAAATATGCAGACAAACTGATGCACAGGAACACACGAACTTTTTAGGTTTATTGACTCAGAGACTCAGAACAGCACCAGAGGAAAAACGTTTCCATCCCATGTCATGGGTCAATGCCCCGGAAGGTGGGAAGGTACCTGAAATCTGTTCCAAGATGCTGAAACAGACTCTTGGAGGCCTTGAGAGTTACTAACACTTCTCACTGCTCTCTTCATTGTATGGTACTGGATGCCAATAAGGTACCTGTTCTTGGCCATGGAAGTCCCCAGCATCATGTTTTGGACATTGAAGGGGCACAACAAGTAAGAAATGGAGTCTCAGGCTCAATAAGCCGATATGGAAACTACATTAAGACTAGCTTCTTTATGGAAAACCCCAGACGTGACTGCTGATGGTTTTCTTCCAATCAGGAGGAAATGAGGGATTTTCCAAAAGAAGTCATCCATGAAGCCAGGCTTTATTCCTTTTTCTTTCCTATTTCCTTTTCTGCCTTCCAAAGCAGGTCAAGCTGAGGACAGTGGTTAAAATGTTACCAGCCAGCACCAGTTAGCTTGAATTGTCCCAAAAGGCAGGTGTCTTGGGAAATGGGTAACACACAAACCCTACAGGTGTTATAGGATAAACTCACTCTCTGAACTAAGACCTCTGAAAACATTTCCTAGTAAAGTATATGGGCAACCACATACTCTAACTCCTGCCTTGCCAGCCTTGTCCATGAAAGTATAGAGCACACAGCTGTTCAAGAAATCACAAAATAAAATTGACTTAGGAACTCATGCCACCCTGTTTGAAGTTTGAGACACACAAGCAAAGAGAAAAAGAACACGTCTATATCCAGTGAGTCTCAAAGGCACCCACAGAAATGATGCATAGCCCAAGTTATCCAGCCTGATAAGTGTATCAGTAGCTCGAGTTTCCAAAAGACATCTCTCTTGGATAAAATAAGTAATTGGTGGCAAAGCTATGGTGATGTGTATTGCCACATCACCTGAACGTTCTTCTTCTAATGCAAACAATTCTGTATTTTCTCAGACCCATTTAGTGAGAGTCTATTTTTTTCTGGAATGTTCACATGGAATAAATATGGGATTAAAATAGGACTTTACTTTTACTAACATCTTAGCCATGTATCTTATGTGATTGTAATTTTTATTCTAATGCATTCTAGTATTAGAGTCTATGTCTTAAAATATTAAGGTATATGGTAAAAAAATTTTAAAGACATGACTCCTGATCCTATAATCAGGTGGTTCCCCCACATGTTCTCTTTTTTAAAGAATTACATGAATGTATTTGGAAAATGCAAACATCATAATAAGACACAAAATGAAAAGTGAGATTATCATTCTTCAACACTTTGATGACAGTCCCCACAAATGACTAAGAAGACTGTTTTGGAATATCTTCAGTCCAAACAGTTATTTTATGTACAAAGTTACACATACACACACACATCAACAATTTACCTACTAAAGGGAAAATACTAAAAAATTCTTTCATATCTTAATGTGGCTTTAATAGTAGGATATACATATCTAATTTATTCTGTTTCTGGATGAATCATAATTCATACAACCACCCCAGCAGTCATGAGATACTAAGTTGTTTCACATTTTTGTTTGTGTAACCATCAAAAACAATACTGCAAAAAGGCTTTAACAGTCTGTAAACTTTTGAGAAAAGTCCCCACCTACTCATCATGTCCCTTGATAGCCACTTTAATATTGTATACTATGCCATCATGTTCTATGTGTGTAATAAATGTAAATAGAATTATTTTTTAACAGGACCCTCCTGGATGTAGATTTCTGCTGCTGTAACCCTTAAGTACTCTGGAGGAAACTTATGTAAAAAAGTAGAAAAGTGACAGATCTCGTTAAAATACATAAAGCAGACCCTATCAATCAATTTAGGAGTTGGCTGTGTTTAGGGGCTTACATAAACGTTTGGAAGGCAAAGAGGATAACTCATGCACACGTAGCTGAGTTTTCTATTTCAATTCCTAGTCAGGTTTCCCATTTTCCATACTAGGCGGACACACCATTGTTTCCCCTCATACACATAAAACCTTGACAACTACCACATATATTCAGCAGATTTTCCTTTTGAAATTTTGGAAGAACTTTCTTAAAAGACTGAGAGAGACAGGGGCAGACAAAGCGAGAGAGAGAGATAGGAAGAGAAGGAGAGCGAGAGAGGTACAAAGAGATAAGACAGAAAGAGACAGGGTGCCCTGAGGATAAAAAACATTCTGTCTTAGAAAAAATGTCTAGTCCATTCTTCTGGTAAATGAACTGAACATCCTATACTTTGGGTAAACTCTCCCCTGGTATGTATAGAGAGATAAGCGTCACACTTCTCAGAATCCTACCCTAACTATCAGGTCCTTCTCACTCCACACAATGCACAGAAGCTGCCCTGGTTGGACTGTCGCCTCAAGGCACCAGGAATAAGTGAAAAAAATGGAAGGCCTCCAGTTTTACCCACATCCACACAGTTTCCCGGGGAATCCTCTGGTTGGACACTATACACTTGCAGGCTATATACACTATATACTTTAGTTAGGAATCCTAAATCTTCTGGTCAAGATCTCATAATAAAATCTTTGGATTTTAAGAGTGCTTCTGCAATGATGGAAACAAATTAAATCCACTCCGAATTCACTGCCAACTATTTGAGTTGGTCGAACACTAGAGAAAGATTAGTACAAATGCACGCCCTGTTGGAGAGGCATGATTAATGAATACTGCAGGAGCTAATAGCTGGTTCCCATCATTGCACTACACACAGCAAGTGAAAAAAAATCTTGACTTGCAGAGCCAATCCAACCACCAAAGCTGGAGTGTCCACCTTTCCAACACCCTTGCCAATGTAACAGAGGTCTGGAGGCCAATACAACTGTTAATTCTAAAGCGATACTTTTATGCCTATGTTAAAAACTTGACAACTGATAAACCCGTAGGCTCTGCTCAGAAAGATAGTGAAGGGGTATGATTTGAAGGGGAGTTGTTTTCATCACAGAAAAGTGCATTGGACTGTGGAATCTAACATTCATTCACATGTGGTACTTTTTTAACTTTTGTATTATGATTATAATAATTAAAAAGTCCAAATATTTATGGGGCTTAAGATTTATATATGTGTCTGTGTCTGTGTGTGTACATGTGTGTGTGTGCATGTGTGCATATGTTTGTGCATACAAAGAATATCAGTAGTAGGTAGCATTGCCATTACTACACTCCCCAGACACTAGTCAAGCAGAAAGACAGATTCTCAAATTCAAAGTGGAAGCTTCAAAAGTAGAATAAGTAAGTAAAAGTGAAGCATTTTGATGATATTCCAAGGTAGAAGATCCTTACGTAAAGTAAATATAATGCTTCAAGAGCAACAGCAAAACAAAAATAATTGGTTTTACCAATGTCACCCAACAGATCCACCAATATAAATTTTTATGAAATCTCTTCGGATGAGAATGCTCCTTCTGTCATAAACAGCGTTGAAGATATTGGTCCCAAATTCATCTTCTCCCTCAAGGTTGGTAAGCTTGTCATAAAGATGACAATCCAGGAGGAGAAGGGATGAAATAAAGGCATGTGTAATATAATGAAAAGGAAGTAGCCCAAAATTCCAATGCACCCGTGGCTGCCAATCTTGAGTGTGCAGCAACAACAGGAAAGCATGTTACAGCACACATAGCTAAGCTTCATCCCCAAGCTGCTGACTCAGAAGGTCTGCAGTGAGCTTGGCAGTGTGCTCCTCCGACAAGCCCACAGGCAATGCTGCAGATGCCGCTGGTGTGGGTGTCACACTTTGAGAACATTGTGGTAGATGACAGATAAGCAGAAAGACTCGTGTTTAGGTGTGTGTCCTCGGTAAAGAAGAAATAATATATTTTCAAAGCAAATATTCAGGATTAACCAGCAAGGCGTCGCTAGAATGGCATTGCTGTGGGTGAGTGTCCGTTACACTACTTTATGCTTGGAGACCAGTCCTGTTTGAAAAGCTCATCATTTGTGGTACAAACAGGGCTTTTGGGCAGTAATGCTAAGTAGTATCTAAAACGCTCTGATCCAATTCAGTGCAATATAACTGTAAATATCTACGAATAAGTAGCTACTATTCTAAAGGTTGGCATCAGTTATATAGAGAAATTCAAAGAAAGACACCTCTAATCCCGAACGTGGGAAGCTGAGGTGAGAATGCTGTCAGTTTAAGGCCAATCTGGGCCCCAGAGTATGACTGAGGAAGAGAGAGAGAGAGAGAGAGAGAGAGAGAGAGAGAGAGAGAGAGAGAGAGAGAGAGAGAGAGAGAGAGAGAGAGAGAGAGAGTTATAAAACAATAGCTAACTTAGAAAAGAATGCCACGGAGACTTTGGAAAGTCAATAGGGAATGCACCTGCGTCCCGGAGCCAAAGCCATTCGGGCTCCACGCATTGCCAATTGTCCATCATGCACACCCCCGCTCTACAGTTTAGTCTTGCGTCTTTAATGACAAGAGAATCTCGATTTGTTATCCAGATTTTGATAGTTTCAGAAAATGAGGATAGTAACCACATGCTTTATTGGAATTTTAAACAATTCATAGTAAACAACAACAACAATATTAAGAGTGCAAGTATCAGCCATTGTAACACATGTTAACTCTAACAACATAGCCCCCATCAGTGAGAACAGATAGCAGGGGAGCACGTGGCCACTGACATTTTGATGATCTTTAATTTTTAGGTAAACTTTATCTTTAACGAGAGTGTTCGTTCCTTGCCCACGCCACGCTGCTACTCTGCATCCCCCTGGTCTAGCATCAGGGTGGTTTTCCTGGCAGCATCTGCTTCACCTGTTATTCTCTACACAGGTAACGACGGGAAGCTCTCCAGTAAGCATGGCCTCAGTCACCATTCACATTCCCCAGTACACCAAGGCGAAGAACCCGCTCCTGTATCTAACTGGAGTGCAAACAGATGAGGTAAGGAGGACACAGCTGGCCACACGGACAGAAACAAGCCATGAATAAAGGGTGGTTGTGTCTGCACCTAAAAGCGAAAAGGGAACACTATGCATCCCAGATCCAAACAAAACCAGCATCAGACTTCAGGGTATAAGCAGATCACTGTCCAAAGAAAATGAGCATCCTCGTGGCTGAAATTATTCCAAGTATCCCTGTTCTGTGTAGGAGAGGAGTTGACTTGGTCAGAGCCCTGTTAGTAGAGAGTACTGGGAAGTGAGAGGTTCCATCTACTGTGGGCAGACAGTAGGTCTAGAGATCTGCTGGTCCTCAAGCAGCTGGCTGGGGACTTTCACCCAGTAGGACTCAGCCCTGGCTATTCACTTTAGTCCCCAGTTACCTTTTAAGGAGAAACATCAAGGCAGTGAAATCAGAATCTGAAGATAAGGCTAGAACGCTGGCATTTCCCTTTGAAAGCTGCAGACCCATGTTCTTCTATGCTGCCTGGCCCAAGAGGTGGTGCCTGCCATAACCAAACGTCTTGACAACGGCTCTCCTATAGTTGAGCACTTAGCTAGTCTTACAGTAATATTTCTGTAATATACATAGCAGATTTCAAGAAATTAAACTCCTAAAATATTCCATAGGAAAAGCCTTGAACTGAATCACTTACAGTGTATTTGTTTTACTATGTTCTTTAAGAGAACAAAAAGAACCATTTTTTAAAATTATTCTTTGTGTCTTTCACATCATGCATCTCCATCCCTTTCATTTCCCCATCCCTTTGTGTCCAGCCTCTGCCCTTGTAATCCCCCGCCCCCCAAAAAAAATTAAGATGAGAAAAGGAAAAACCTCGTCATGGAAGCTGTAGTGGGACAAGGTGGGTCGTGCGTGAACACTTTGTCCACATATCTTTACGTGGAAGCATTCATTGCAGTCACTGGTCTGGTTCAAGGCCTCTGGTTTCTGCTACACTACCAATGCTGGGCCCTCACTGGGACTCCTCTTGGATATCCTGCTGTTGCCCCGTGTCGTGGAGATCCTGCAGCTTTGGATCTGTAGGACCGGCCCCTTGATCTCATGTCATAGCAAGCCACGCGTTGCTACAATAAAATGCCTGAGGTTAGGTTAACTTTACAGATAAAAAGGCTTATTTAACCTCCAGTTCTTGCGAATTGGTGATACGATACCAGCGTCATTTCATCTCTGGTGAGGGTCTCATGATAGCCCGTATAAGAAAGAGAAGGGGTTAATGGAAGTACATTGCCAAGTAGGAAACTAGAGGGGGGCTTCAGTTCTGAACTCCCTCTTTTAGGACATCCTTCTAATTGGCCTGTAGCTGTTCTACTGGAACCCAACTCTTAAAGTCCCCTGTTCTCTCCACACTGCCAACTTGCAGACCACACTTCCAAGGTGTGAACTTTGAGGAACAAACCATACTGAAATCGTGACAGGCTATGGAGAAGCTGGCCTGCCTCATCAGGTCACATCAGCTGACTTAAATGCTTCAGGCTTTACCAGAGCACAAAAGCATTTGGCCACTGAGCCCCTGAGAAAGGAGCCTAGGGCCTCTCCCATATACCACATGATGGCAGGATTTTCTGGCAGGCTGGAAGGAATGGTGTCCACCATTTTGCTTTCCAAGTCTGATATGGTCTTTTTCCTTGTAGGCTGGTGACATCAGCTGTGCAGCAGATATAAATCCGCTAAAGCTAGGACAAGCGTCCTCTCCTGTCACTGTCAAGAGTGAGAACTTCCGGCATACGAAAGAACTGGTGAGGCAAGGTCAATGTTCCTGCTGAACCTGTCTTAAGTAATCTGCTGTTTGCTCCACCTGAAACCCGGTCTCTTGTTTTATGTCAGCAGCGAACACTCTCGAGTGTTCTTTTGCCTTTGGTGTTGAGCATGGATTAGGATAGTTAGGCTGACAATTCACAGCATCAACAGGACATGTGTGATGGGATCTGGAAAAGAAAAGGGAGCTATTGGAGGTGGAGGATGTGGAGGGTTGGGGATAGTGAGTAGGAAAAGAGAGTCAACAGAGGCAATCAGGTTTGAAAACGGTACATGGAGCCCACTTTGTCTGCTAACTTTTAAAAAGGAACTCCATGTGCTTGCTGTCTGTTCCCCAGCTCTGCCCTGTTCTTGGAGGAAGGGATTAGTTTAGCAGCTAGCTTGGCATGGCTCTTGGCACAGACTCAGCCATCAGGCAAGTAAACAAGAAACCGCAAGCAAGCCGTGACACTTCCCCGTCAGTGATATTGAAGTTGTCCTGGCTTTCTTTATATTGTGATGGATGGACTAAACAGAAAAGGCTGAAACAGAACTTTTTTCTATATATATTAATATGTAAATGTATTTGTAAGTTATTACACAAATAAGCCATGTTGTTGTTTTTTGGCCATACATAAGCCGATGTTATAGACTGTGCTTTTGGGTTTTCAGGGTTTTGTTTTGTCTTGTTGTTTGTTGATTTTTAATTCTGTGTGTCTGTGTGTCTGTGTGCATGTGCATGTGTGGGAGAGATAGGAAGAGTGTACAATGTATGTTGGGGGAGCATGGTGTGAGTGTGTGTGGACAATGTGCACATCTGTATGTATAGTACAGCGTGTGTATACCTGTGTATGGCATGGAGTACGTGTGTATACACACATGGTCTTGTGTGTGTATGTGTGTGTCTTGTCTGTCTGTTTCTCTGTGGCTGTATGGTACATGCACAGGAGTATGAGGCCGGAGCACTCCTCGACTGCTCTCATATTACCTTGAGACAAGTCTCTCACTACATTGGAATGGTCACCATTTTGCCAAGGCTATATTGCCAGAGAACTCTCAGGATCCGCTTGTGTCTGCACTGCCTCCCCCAACACTGGGGCTGCAGGCACACACAGCCAGGTCGGGCTTTTCATGTGGATGCTGAGGACTTGAACTCGGGTCCTATTGCTTGCAAGTACTGTGCTACCTCTCTAGGCCTCACAGTTGTTTTGAAAGGGCTTTAATTCTTAAAGCACTTCATAACAAAGGCGTGACTATAGAGGAATTTCCCCATACACCTCCTGTTCTCACATATTCACGGCTTCCTCCACTATTGAAACCCTATGATTACAGTGCTGCCTTTGTCGTGACAGGTCTACACTAACAGATCGCATCACCGATGCCAGAGTTTACATTAGGGCTCACGGTTGGATTTCAAATATTCACACTATGGAGTTGAAAATGTGTAATTGCCTGATCCCATTAATTATGGCAGCACATTGAGTAGCTTAGTACCCTAAAGTACTGTGCTCTGTGTGCACACCTATCTCTTTCCCCAACCCCTGACAACTACGGATTCTCTTACAGACAAGCTCTGATCTAGGAAGTTAATTATTATCCTTAAGTTTAATGGTTAAATTATACGACATGTTGTTTCTGTTCAATAATTTACTTGCCTTAGCACATTGCAGATAACATGAATTAGTTACTGTTTCGTTTTTATGGTCATAAATAGTATATTTGAACAGGTTGTATATAGTCATAATAAATGGAATAAAGAGCAGATTGTGCCTGTTTGTAGTTGGAAATTTTGGGGGCTACCAACCAGCTCCCAAATAAAGACATGGATAACTTTATTATTAATTATGAATGTTCAACCTTAGCTTAGGCTTGTCCCACCAGCTCTTTTAACCTGTTTCTATTCGTCTATGTTTTGCCTCAGGGCTTTTTACCTTTCTTTCATTCTGTATGCCCTACTTTCTTGCTTCCTTTTGTCTGTACAGCTGGCCCCTGGCATCCTCCTGGTGTCTCTTTTTCTTTTGCTCTCGAGCCCAAATTCCTCCTCCTACTTACTCTCCCTGCCCAGAAGTTTAGCCTACACCTCCTCCCTCACTATTGGTTGTTAAGATTTTTATTAGATAAATTGAGTTCTTGAGGCAGGGAAGGTAAAAGAGCAACACATCTTTACATAATTAAACAAATGCAACGCATCATTCCATGGTTAAGCTAATATTCCGCAACATAATATATATGCAGTACATCTTTATATAGTTCACAAATGCAACACATCTTTGCATGCTTGAACAAATATTCTGCAACACCCTTCTTTTTACATATTTCTCTTATCTCTGAGGTTATCAATACAGACAGGAAATGGCTGGGAAAAAGCTATCTCAACTCTCTTTATATTCTGGAACTCATTATCAAAAAGCCCTTGAAGATATAAACTAGTATAAATACTAATAATATATAGCTATAAATATTAATAGACCTAAATACTAATATAAATTAGTATAAATAATAGTAACTATAAATACTAAAAGCCCCTGATAGTGCCTGTTTCCACGTGTCCTGCCTACCACTGCTTTATCTTTTCCTAAAGTTTTAGCATTTGTAACACCTGTTTTCTCTGTCTCTCTCCCCTCCTCATTGACTCTGATCTGAAAGGACTGCAGAACCGTCTCCTGCAGTGACATCACCTGCTGGCTGAAAGACCTTCACATGAAATCGGAGTACTTTATCAATGTGACAACCAGAGTCTGGAACAGGACCTTCGCTGCTGTAAGTCTCAGCTCTACCTACTGGGCCCGTCAAGGGTGAGCAAAGATGCATGTGGCTTCATTGTCAAAAATACTCCTTTTTTTTTTTTTTGATGAAATAGCACCCTGCCAACAGGCAGAAATGCCCAAACAAGCCTGAGCAACTGTACTCAAGGTAGTAAGTTCACACCTCTTTTCAGTGCTCACCCTGTCTGGCTTTGCCTCAGAATCATCTGGAGAACTCATCAAGAGGTCTGCCTTTTAGAAGCTCACACCAGCCCATGGCATCTTTATGAATAGTGCCAAGGATGCCTTTGCTGTCCTTGTCAGAAACAGCGTCTTCTTGGTCTCCTTCATGGTGTGCCCACAGTTCTCTTTTTGTAGTCACACCTGAATCGGGATGTTCATGCCATCTTTCTCCTTGAGTTCCCAGCCAGGTGTGTCATTGATCTAATTATGCAAAGGTGAATCCAGCGTGAGGGTCCATCTCCTTCTATTCATAAACAGGCAGATGCCCTGCTTTCCTGGGTTAGCTTCAGTTTGATGAGTAAACCCAGAAAAGCATACAAGTCTTAGGCTACTTCATGAAAAAGGAAACCCCCCAAACAATAGTCAGTGTTGTTTCCCTACACAGCAGGCCAGAGTCTATCATAGCACTATTTGCACAGGGATTAGATAGCCAGGACATTAGTCTAGCAAGAACAATGGAAATACAGCAAGCCTTAATGTCTTGACCCTGACTGCCAGAATGGCTAGCTATGCCCTTTTCTGATGCTGGCTCTGGGCGCCGACAAACTACCTTCGTCTGGATCTCTCGGGGATCGGTATGGCTCTTCTCTGGATCTCACTGAACTCTGGCCCTTCGATTTTCACCATTTCACAACCAGCATTGACCCCCATTCTCTGAGTTGGAGTTCTGTGTTAGATTAAAGATCACCCTCATACCTTGGCCCTGGAGTCAAAACATAAGCAGTAAGATTGTGTAAAGACATAATATGAAAATAGTGGTGGGAGTTTAGGGAAAGATTACAGAGCCGGGGGAGTGAGAAGACTGAGGGGTTCGGATTTCTTTTGAAAATGCGGTCCTCTTTCATTTGCCTGTTAGCTGTATTGGCTTCACAGCCTCTGGGACAGTTCTAAGTCCTAAAATGTGATGCGTGCTGATGGAGGGGCCACCGTTCTCCCAGCTGCTGAACCTGGTACTCAGTCTTGGGACTCAATCATAGTACTCAATCTTGGGACTCAGTGGGCTCCTGGCTCCTTAGATCTGAAGAACAAACATGTTTGTAACAAACTCTGCCCAGTTGAAAGGAAAACTGACTTCTGCACATCAAAATAATGTCGCTCCAGCTCTGTGAAAAGTCTTTGAGTTTTCTTGAAGCTACAATATTTTTACCATTGGGCTTTATGAAAGTGACTCTCAATCGGCTCAGAGGTAGCCTTTCCTTTGTGGGAGCCAAGTTCTTAAGTAGTGGAGAATTTATCTTTTTTCACAACGGTTACACCCTCCAGAGTTATTGGTTGTCAAGCCCAGCACATCTTTCTCCTCCATATGAGGCCAACTATTTACTCTTGCCTTACTTTCATCCTCTTTAACAGCCAAGTAGACACTCCGGTCTGAGATTCGGGCCTCATTTCCTGCATGGGGCTCACTAGGTGGTGCCTCCTGCTACTCCTTTTTTTGATGCAAGGATGTCAGCCTAACATCTCAAGTGCCTCATCACACACTGATTGCTCGGGCTGCCCAATAGCACTGGCTGCCTTTTGTAAGGAAAGCCTGGGTGGACACTAGCAAGTGTGCTATTCTGCTCCCCTGGGTGTAGTTACTACTGTAGGATGCTGGGCATCTGTTAGAACAGCCAGCTCTGTGGGCGGGTATATGAGCATTTTAAGAACAATGATTTCATCATACAGGCTACACGTGCTATTGCCTATATTCACTGACGGCCACTTTTTGTTTACATTTCTACTATCAGTACTAGAAAAACATAAGAATGTGTGTGTGTGTGTGTGTGTGTGTGTGTGTGTGTGTGTGTGTACCACATGCATGCAGGGGGCTCTTGGAGGTCAGGAAAGGGAATTGGATCTTCTGTAATGGGAGGTATAGGTGGGAACTGAGCTGAAGTCCTCTGTAAGAGCAGTGAGGGCTCTTAACCACTTAGCCTTTTCTACACACACACACACACACACACACACACACACACACCATGTAACTACTCTCAATGCTTCACCTATAACATATGTTTAAAAGATCAGTGTTTAGGGTTAACGTATGATGCAATCTTCCATCTTGAGAGAATTAAGAGTAACCAGAGACTGGGCCAGCAGAAAGGAAACAAATGGCTCACTTTTTGGAAATATATTCTCTCTTGCTGGCTCCTGGATATGGTCTAGCGAATTACTTCATTAAGATGTTCAATCGTATGCCCTAGCAACAATAACAAGGGAGTCCTAATAGCTAGAGCCCATTAAAATGGCTCTAAAATCTGAATGTTAGTTCTCTCACACATAATTATAAGGCCGTAATTATAAGTGTATAGCAAACACTAACATTGATGACATTGGCATCATCATGTTCCCAATGAACAGACTCTTTTTCCATAAACAAATTGATGACACCTAAGCTTACTGTATATCCTTACTTATGGCATCATCATACACATATGTCCTTATACATGCATCCCCAAAACAGTATCATCTCATAGAGACACTTAGATTAGGACATGTAAAATCATTCCTAATGTGATATTACATGTAAGAAGGCTCAAGGTTTCTGCAGTCAGCATGTATCGCCAAGTTCAGGTACACTTTCAGATAGTAATATTTTATACAATAGAAGAAGAAACTCAAATGCTGGTGTCCCCCTCCATTATGAGACTTGTTCAGGTATGGGTAAAAGAGTATTATGTGTAATTTTCTTTCACGTATCAAGTTTCATTAAATTAAAAAAAAAACTCACAGTGACAAGCTTTTCCTTTTAAAAAGGCCTTGTAAGCCTTCTATTTGAATCATTTTCAAATTTGAATAATGTAAGAGGGTGTTTCCAAGGCTCGTGTCTGGGTGCCACCCTGGGCTTTGGTTTAATTTGCAGCAGTTGGCTTCAATAAGTGCACATTTCAAAGGCTGCCCGGCAACTTTGCAGCAGGCTTAGTCCTCACAGCAAGTTCAAGCATGCAAAGGATGAATCTTCGGCACCAGGTTTTCTCCTTGTGACTTTCCGCCAGGAACTAAACAACCTTAAACAGGCCCGCTTTTCTGTGTTTACTGCTGCAAGGGTGAACTGTTTTTATTCTGTGTTCCAGTCGACTTTCCAGACTCTGCAACTGACAGCAGCTGCAGAGATTGATACACACAACCCGCAGCTGTACGTGATTGAGGACAACTCCGTCACGGTGAGTGTGCTGTGTGTCTCCCTGTGACAGGCATTCTACTGTGTAAAGTACAGAACGGCCATTCTCATCTCTGTGCATCCAGAAGACTAGATCAAAACCTGAAGGCCTGGGCTTGGTTAGACTGAGATGTGACCAGGATGGCTGCGACTCAGAAAGTCCAGTGACACACTTGCCTTCTCTTAGTCCGCCCCCCTCCCCCAGGCTGTGAAGTGCTTTCTAGAAGTGACCGATCCACCAAAAAGGTACAAAGGGGCTCTGTCATACTTGGGGCACCATGGTGACAGTTCATGCCTCAAGCAGCAGCATCTCTTCATGTGCTGTGAGAAACCGTTAGGATCTGAGGCATAAGACCTAAGATATACTACCTTACATCATGAATTAGACCGGGAGCATTATAAATGAGTATGTAAATAAGGCATTTATTAAACTTTTTATACAAGTTCTGCTTATAACCAGACACTGTGACATGTCCATTCATGGCCCTACATTCTAAAGAACTACAAATGTAACCCTCGTTTAAAAGGGAGAGGACTACTGAGAATTGTCCCTTCACAGAAGACAAAGGAGCTCTGTTCTTGGGGCTGGCAGAGGCGACTTTCCTTAGCAGTGAGCCTCTGGTTAGCATGTGCCATTTTTAGATACAGCAGGATTTCCATGCCCAGCTAATCTGCTGGCAGAGCCCCGAGCATTTTCCACCCCAAGCTTTTGTCTAAGAGCTGGAAGTCAATTCCCAACTCTGCCCCCGAGGCCAGCTGGATGCTTGGCCTCTGTCCAGCGCTCCAGCTTACACACCGGGTAGAAAGCCAAGGGCCCCATGAACTCTGGGCCTCTCTCAATGCCTGTGTTGAGTTCCCAACACTGCTGTCCCACTCTTGTCCCCGGAAAAATCATTCCACACAATGGAGACTGCTTTTCTCTCTTTGGTTTGGGAACCTCGGTGAAAGCCCACACCCTCTCTGCTGAGGCTGGGCATGGAAACCCAGAAGTGGAGCCAAAGGAAGGAAGTGCAGGCTCCAAACTCGAATCACTGTGAACTTAGTGACGGTGAGAACAGTATAGACTGCTCCCAAAGCCTGCCATAAAGGTGCAGCATTTGGGGGGGGGGTCTGTAAACGCTGCTAAAATCTGTCTTTTGTGAAAGCAGCCCTTGAAGATAGTAACTGAAAATTCAAAGTTTCATTTTCATGAATCCACCAGTTTTCTTGGCTTTTTTCTATGAGCAGTACTAATTAATAGCAGAGACTGGCTTCTACTTGTGTCTGTGAAATTATTCTGTAATCCAAATAATAATCTAGATAACCTTTTCAGGAATACTTGGAACCCAAATAATATGTTGGCACACACCAATATAAAGGCCCACTTCAATGAAGTATTGTGCTCAAGGGTACAGGGTGATCCAAGCATCAGATGGGTGGGCTCTAGACCACAGTCTTGGTACCGCACTACTACACAGCAATGAACTGCATGAATTTATGGTAATTCCATTCAGAACATTTTAGCTTTTCAATACAAATGAGGAGAAACAGACTCACAGAGCTTGGTTTCTGTTTATCCCACCATAAAACGCAGCTTGCCAGGTGGCAGCGGTGGCACATGCCCTTAATTCCAACACTAGGGAAACAGAAGCAGGCCAGTCTCTGAGTTCCGAGCTCGAGGCCAGCCTGGTCAACAGAGCGAGTTCCAGGATGGCCATGGCTACACAGAGAAACCCTGTCTCCAAATACAAAGCAAACACACACACACACAAAAAAAAACAAGAAACAAAAACAAACAAACAAAAAAGACAGCTCTTCTATAGTTTAACATGGTAGCAAGTAAATAAATTATTGTTCCCTTTTGCTCTGTAACTCTAAGAATATTTTTGTGGAGACCCCTTTTATCAACCAAGAAAAAGAATATGAAGTGTCACTGTTCAAGCCCTAAGGATGCCGTTCCACTCCACGCCACAAAGATCACCATAGGACAGGGGCATAAAGCCATGACTATGCCCAAGGACAGTGTCGTCACTGAGGTCAACCTCACCCTGGCAAAACCCCATCTGTTCTGCTTTTCCAGTGTTTTGTATTAAAGTTGAATGAGACTGAAATCGTACTTTAAAAGCTGATACAAAATTATTGAATGAGGGGTTGGATGGTTGGATGAGGCTATGCTTGCCCCGGTTCCTAGGATGCTTTGGTCTCATTTGAAAAGAAAGAAGGAAGGGAAGGGAAGAGGAGGAGTAGGGAGGGAATGGGAGGGGAGGGGAGAGGAGGAAAGAAAAAAGAAAGAAAGAAAGAAGGAAGGAAGGAAGGAAGGAAAGAAAGAAAGAAAGAAAGAAAGAAAGAAAGAAGAAAGAAAGATGTGCACCGAAAACTGGAGTGTCTACTTTAAACAAGGAAAGCACTGATGCCATCTGTTCAGCACAGTCATACGACAGTAACACAGCAGAAGGGAAAAAAAGTGGAAAGGTTGTGCATTGCCTGAGTTTTCAAGTCGTCTCTTCAATCTTGCATGATGCCTGAGGGACGAATGCCATGACAAGTCACAGCCCCCTCCAGAACTGTGGGTCATATTTATAAATTTTTGAACTGTGTTAGGACATATTACTTTTCTGCTAAATGGATAATTCAATTGTGAGCATGTATTCATTCACAGATTCCCCTTATGATAATGAAACCCACCGAGAAAGAGGAAGTACCAACAGGGGTTATAATAGGAAGCATAATTGCTGGAATCCTCTTGCTCTTGGCTCTGGTTGCAGGTTTGTGGAAGGTAAGAAAACTTCACAGCTAAAAGATGGTACTCCCAAAGGCCTTTGTTTTGAATGGCATGGTACCGCTTGCCATTGCGAAAGGAAATGCAAGGTTGTTTGTGCTTTCTTACACAAGACGTTAAAAAACTAACAAGGACTTAGTTTGGTTTTACCCTCCCTACCACCCAGTACCCTGAAAATTTTGTCTCAAATAGATATGACAGATATTCAGTTTCACACAATGAAACTTAAAGTTCCTCGATATATGAATGCTAAGACATTAGTCTGTAGTCTATGCGCCAGTCCCCCCAAATGTCCAGGCAGTCTAGAGCGGATACAGAGAAGTGGGCAACAAAGCATGAGCCAGCCATGGGTGGTGATGTCATTCTTTTCACTGTTGGTATTTTCTGGGCACCGTGTGGTGTAGATACATGTGTTTGTTGACTAATGACCAAATCAAGGTAACTGTGGTCACAGGGCAGTAACCAGCTATTTCGTTACCTTATAGCTTGGCTTCTTCAAAAGACAATATAAAAAAATGAGCCAAAATCCAGATGAGGTGGACGAGACCACAGAACTCAACAGCTAAACTCCCAGCGGACACCACGGCATGGCGGCTGGCAAGATCCCAGCTACGGTTCACTCTGTGACAGTCCAGTTTTAAATAATTTAATAGGCAAACTAGCCTGATCATTTTAGAGTAAACTGCTGGTCAGTTGGGAATGAAGACATTGTGGGTGGAGGTTATGGCTAAAAGAACCAAAGTCATTATATATAGAAAGAAAAAAAGTAATTTTTTAAACTGGCTAGTCCAGTGTTTACATGCTAACGTTTAGTATGTCAAGAAGACAGGATGGGTCTATGCATGACAAGCCTTCAAGAAAATTGTAACATTTTTCAGATGGGGGGTGGGAAAGTGCATGGGGAATGCTCTTTTAATTTTACTAAAAGTAACAAGAGAAGTGAAAAGTGAATAATACATAATGCATATTATATATGTTATATTATTAATATAGCATATAAGTATGTATTACATATATATAACTGTGACATAAATTATATTGTAAATAATTTATATTATATTGGGTGTTTCAACATATATATTACTATAATATATATGAATGTTTGTTGAAAAAAGAGAAAACTAGCATAGATTGTTTTTTTTTTCAATTTATGCTGTTCATCCAAGGTTGCGACAGAGGATACTTTTAAATGATAATATTATTTATAAACTAGTTTTTTTTTTTAAGAAAAAAAGAGTCTTGCTATTGCAGGACAGTAATTTCAGCTACTCAGGAAGCTGAGACAGGAGTCCGAGTCTGGGGTGTCCCTGAGTTGTACAGTGAGTTCAAGGCTATCCTGGACAACTTAAGGAGACCTTGTCTACAAGCAAAAGGTGAAATGATGCCGGGGCTCAGCTTAATCACAGAGTGCTTGCTTAGCAGGATCTTTAAAAAATACATAAAACTTGTTGCTTTCTTTCATGTCCTGACTGCCTCTTCTGAGTACCATCTTTACTATAAACATGCTTGAATAGCCATGAGAAATACAGAATATATATATATATATAAAGTATTTTATATGTATATAATACATATATGTGCACATACATACAATACATTTAATATATATACATATATAGAATACTTGCAGGTAAATATACCAATTACTAAAAAAAAACAAAAACCACCACAAGCATCATGCTGTGGGAGGGTCAGTTTAAAAGCCAAGGCACCCAAATTTACTAACACCCTATACTATAACAAGTTTATAGTATAACTAACTGCCTGCTGGGGCCATCCTGACAAAGGAAAGGGGGAGGGGCATTCCTCTTAGGACTAGCAAGATTTCTCTTTTACTTGATTAGCTAGCTGGAAGGGAACTAGCGGATTTGCTAGAGATGGACAATTTCTTTTGCTAACTGCCTCATCTGCCTCTCCCCTTCCCTGTTGCCCTTAACGACAGAAGGCCCCCGCGGCATGCCTTTCCCCCCAGTAGTTTCCACTCTCCTCTACCAGCCAGCCATAGCTCCCACACCACGAGTCCTAACCTGCCCCCTCACACTACCAGAGTGTGGGGATGAGAGAAAGTCCCCTGCAGTTCACACACCTGTGTGGCTACTCATACACTCCTCAACTTTAGGGAGCTATTTCATTTGCTGCTACACAGTAAGAAGACTATGCCTGGATTGCAGCTGTTGCAGTTATCCAGAAGGTAAACGGAACAGCTCAGGGATTCGCAGGTTGGACGAGCAGCAGACCCTCTAGGCTTGACTCGGGCAGGTAGAACTCTTCAGCCCCGACTCTAGAAACTCTGACTAGCTCGGGCTGATGGAAAACCCAATGGCCTGAATTTTGACAAGAACCCAGGCGTTGTGATGTAAACAGACTGTGCTCCAGGGAGTTGCACACCCTTTTCCACCCGTGGCACCTTATTTCGGAGCCTATACATTCTCCAGAAGAGCTCCCGGAAGACGGGTCCAGGGAACAACAGTAGAAGCCACTGTCACACACTATATGCACAGAGCTTTGGCCCAGTCCTTAACCTCGTGGAACTTCATTGTTCTCATTACGAAAGGGGAAGTCAGGGTTAGGGCTCAGCAGTGACTCAATCTTAAAAGTTAAACATAAGGATTTCCTACTATACAACCTCCAAGAATGGGACCTAGAGAGGTCAGAGGAAAAACAGCTTGCCCGGGTGTGCATGGATGGCCCTGACTGTCCCCATGGCCAGGCCCCTGCGTGGCGGGCCAGAGCCAATTGGACCAGTTATTGGCTTACTTCATCCTTGTCTAAAGCCAAACAGAAGGGAAAAAATATTAGCTGCAAATGTCAGGGAGGCACAGCGAAACCAGCTTGGTACTCTCTTAGTTATGAGATCCAGGGTCCAAGTCTTTTAACAGCTGCGTGGAGGCACTGTGGCATTCTAACCAAATTTTTAGTTTGGAGTGGAGAAACCAGGATGACAGAGAATCCTTCACAAACCGACTACACACACACACACACGCACACGCACATACACACGCACGTTTTCTAGTGCACTTTAGGAGTACTCATAGCACACAGTTCCTGTATTTTACTGCCTCCCTCTCCTTCTATAGGCAGTAAACCAGGGTCATCTACTACTATACACACAGAGCTTGAGACCTTTGACAAGCCTTGGCATAGGTCATCAGCTTTGATTAGCTTTTAAGGGGTAAGGCTGGCTTACGACCACACTTAGTCTCTAAACCATTTCTCACGCTAGCCCAGGGGTTGTGACGTCAGCAATGCTGTTATTCTGGAGCAGGCAGTTTCATGAGGGGAGGAGCTGTCTTGCTCCTCCCAGGGTTTTCAGCAGCATCCTTGGCTTCTACCTACTCAAGGAAAGATTGCATCTTCCCCGCCCCCCCGGGGTCCTGACACCAACACATGTCCCCCCACACCCAGTCTTTACTAAGTGACTCCTGTATCTTTCAAGAAATTTTTAGCAAAGCCGAATGTTCTCAAGAAATTATTGGGGGCAGGTAGGCAGGGTTGGGAAGGAAGTTATGTGGTCCATTCAACCCTATCTTTTGCTTTAATAGTAAGTATAGGACTCAAAAGATGTCAGGTTAAAATTTCCATTTCATAAATGGTGGATCACAAAAAAAATGTGATCTTAAACACTTGAGTTGCCTCCTGCGTGCTCAGCACACAGCTCTATAAAGAGCAGCAAGGTAAAATAGTGCAATAAAGGAACGGGACTCATTTAAAACTATGCAGCACTCATTTTAGCAGCAAACTATGAATGCCTAACTGGTCGGATGTTCTTCTAGCTAGCAGTGTTATCTTTATAAGACAGTGAAACTTGCCTTTAACTGTGAAGAATAAAGAAAACTGAAGCCAATTTATGGTAGTCACACACGTGACTATAATTCTAAATTATAAAGTATAGTGCTATGCTGCATCTATCTTGATACAGGGCTGTAACCTAACATGTAAGAATCTCATTAAGACTTCAATAAAGAGAAGGCGGGATTCTTAGCAGAGCTCCCTCACCCTTCTCTTTACACACACACACACACACACACACACACACACACACACACAATTCTATACACAATCCCCGAGCGCTATGGCCTTTATGTACATTTGGAAAGGTTCCTTTTCATTAACACGAAGGAGTAAACACCCAGAGTTAAAAGATAAACACGGGGGCAACTTTGGGAGTAAAATATTTACTACTTTGAATTTTCAAGTAGAAAGATGTAGTCAATGTGTAAATATATAGATTGTATTGTATGTACTTGGTTTTGGCAAATGAAGCCAAAATGTAAATGTATATATTGCACAAGGAGTAGGTTTGTCTATCTTTAAAGAGGAGAGTATCTCATTCCCTCCACAAAGGATTAGTAGTCTTGCTGAGATGTAATGTTTGCAGGTTTGAACTAAATGTGCTTTGCCATTTTACTCCCCTCCCCAAAGTGAATAAGATGAATGTGCTTGTTTGTACCCCAATTTGGTGAATTTATCTGATTTCTTAGAAACAAATTATAGTAATTGACATAAGAACTTTCCTGATATCAAAGCACGAGATTCGGACAGAAAAGTCTTATTTAATTGTAAATCGTTCTTTTTATAACCTGTTGTTAAATATCATTAAAAATGTTTTGAAAGTAAGCTCCTCTACTTGGGTTTTTATTGCAAAGCTACACATTTCAATGTCTTAGGGAGTCCTTTTACTTCAGAACACATTCAAGATTCCATTTAAGAAGACATAGGCTGTCAGTAGCCTAAATTTGTGGCCTGACAGACAATCAAAGCAACCGACGTGCCGCGATGTGCAAATCACGGTGTCTCACACACACTGAAGAACGGAAGCCGATAGACCGGAGTGCGCAGACTGCCGTCGCTAGGTGCACGGCAGGGAGAATGTGACCGTGCTGCCATCTATGCCGATGCTAAAACATCTGGTACCAGGCCTTCCTTCATGTGGATTCCCACCCCCAAAACGTGTAACTTTCTATAGAAAAATGAGTACATGTGCTTAAAATACAAGCAAGAAAAAAAAAATTTTGTTATTGTTGTTTTAATTTTTTGTTTTATTTTTCTTTACAGAAAGATCCATATTATTTCTTTATTCAAAAATTTTTCGACAGTGTATTTCAACCACACTCTTCCCCCGCACTCAACTCTTCCTAGACTCTCCCACCTCTCTACTCAACCAACTTTGGTTTTGTTTCTCTTCTCTCTCTCCTCCCCCTCAAAATAAATAAATAAAAATAACACAGAAAAGCATGGAACTCTATTTGTGTTGGCCAACTACTCCTGGGCACAGGGTCTGCCCTGGAGTGTGGTGGATGTACCAAATGACACTCTATTCATTTTCCATTTCCCAGCGGAGGTAACTGAAAATCGCTTATTGGTCAGAGCAGGGCTTCCTTCTTATCAATGGCTTTTTAAAACCTGTATGAAAGCCCTCATCTTGTCCCATACAGGTAACTGTATAATAATTACTGTTCCGTATTAGTACTAAAAACTACAAACAAACCTTTTGGTTCTGGTCAGTATTAAATTTGATTTAAGTCACTCGCAATTATAGGCCTGGATCTACTGCCCTCTGCTGGATGATTCAACTAATTACAACACACCATGGGCTAGAATAGAGCTACCTTTGCCTCCTGGTTCGTTTAACCAGATGCTTTTTCACATCTGTATGTGGTACGACTTACATGTCAGGTGTGTTTAATTTGAGAGACAGCATGTGAAACCATCAGCACCAGTATTTAACACCACCACAAACATTTAGCAGAACGCTATAAGCTCATGCAGTTCGATGAGAAAGCCCTTGATCTCCCGGAGTTGAAGCTAATGATGGTGATAAATGGCTGGGTGTCGTACTTCAGGTGGCGTCAGACACCATAACAAAAAATGAGGCTGAGGAAATGGACAGGAGTCCACTTTTAAGCAGGGTAGTCTGTGAAAGTTCTGTGTGCAAATAACACTCAAGAGTCTGGAACAAAGACAAGACGCAGGGTACATAAATCTCACAAGGAAGAACAATCTAGAAGAGGCGAGAGTGGCTTGCCCACACTAGTCACAGCAATGGCTGGAGCAGGATGGGAGGTGGGGAGGAAGGCTACTATGTTGGCTAGCAGAAGTGAGAATGCAGGAGTCTGGGAGGTCCCAGCAGCCATGTGAAGGCCCTTATAGAAACATAGATGAGTTAGGCTAGAAATGGCAGAGAGGCACACTGACTGTTAGGTGATGGTTGAGTCCACAAGGCCTGGACCATGAAGGGGAAGTAAGGAAACTGGGTTCAAAACTCACCCAGGAATCCTATTAGCCAAGACGTTCATACTCAGGAAGTCAAAACCAAGATCTGAACGACTGCTTCTTAACCAGTCTCGAAACGTGCTGAAGACATATTGTGACTCTACAGATCATATCCAAAAGATACAAATCTAGAGGCTACATCAGTGACTAAACATCTGCTATTGCTTTTGTGTTTTGTTTGGAAATTTTCAGCTCACGATTATCGAGCTTCTTGGGGGAACTCACACAGGACCAGTCACAGTCCAGAGCACAGGATGTGCTAAGGCTGCGGTTTGTTTTGAAGGCTACTCCTCTACTTTAACAGCCAGCTGGCGATGGCTAAGTGCCATGGTGACATCAGCCTTTCATCTCCAACCACCAATTAACTCCGCCCCTCCTGAGAAGTCGGGGACTAAGGAAGATCCCTTTGAATTCCAGTGTCATGCACTATAAACTTTCAAGGATGCTCCATTCTGGTTCTTCCAGCACATCCCAAATCTAACCCTACATTTTCATGCTGGTGACTTAAAAGCACAGTAGTCCAGGTCACACACAGCATCAAGCCTACTTAACGAAGGCATGATTCTTTAAAACCATTCTTAATGTCTGCTCTATGCTCTTTAAAAACATAATTACCTTCAATAAGGACCTTTTGATGAGCATTTGAATGGTAAATCTTTTTTGTTGTTTTGGTTGGCTTTGGTTTTGGTTTTAGAGACAGGATTTTTCCGTGTAAGCCTGGTGTCCTGGAACTCACGATGTAGACCAGGTTAGCCTCAAACTCACAGAGACCCTCTCTTGTGCTGAGATTAAAGGTGTGCACCACCACTCTAAGCTCTAGTAGAGATACCGTAGAAATGGAAAGTATTCCACATTAGTGCTAACATCAGGGGTGTGAAATCCTAGGCAGATACACAGTGGCCCAGTAACCTAATGTGTTTTCAGGGCTAGGGTAACTGACTCCAACACCCAGTTCTTGACACAGATGCAGACTAAAACCCGTGGAAGGAGAGGAAGGTTCTAAAGTGAGAGAAGGTTGAGATAGACAGACTACCCCAAATCACTAGTGGAAGTTTATGGTGTAAACGGAGTCTCTCTGTCCCACCTGTTAAGAAAAATCCTCTACACAGGCACACAGAAATCCAATCAAGACAAATTAAATCAAATTAAAATTCCCATGTTTTAATAATTGCAGCACTCTCAGGTGGCCGAGAGCATGGGAAGTACATGCGAAACCCGTAACCACACGTTCCTCCTCGGGGGGCTCCCACTTAAATACTGGCATGCTAGGATTTGGAGTCCAGACCAATGCAACTCCCAAGCCAGGGGGCTGGGATGGGTGCCAGAGCCTGGGGTGATGCTCCCAACTTAACATCACACCATTCAGTCCCACAGCTGCTTCCAAATAATCACTCAGAGGGCTACATTAGTTATAAATCTTTGGCCAATGGCTCAAGCTTATTATTAACTAGCTCTTACATTTAAAATAGCCCTGATTAATCTATGTATTGCCATGTTGCCATGGCGTTTGCCCGTTAGCTGGCATGTTGTTTTTTGGGTGGCTACTGGCGTCTTTCTTCTTCGTCCTCCTTCTGCTTGTATCTCCACTTGGATTTCCCACCTAGTATTATTCTTCCTGGCTATAGGTCAAATCAGCTTTATTTATCAACCAATGGGAGCAACACATATTCACAGAAAGACCATCCCACAGCAGGATGGAGATTTTTCTCTCTTCCTAGTGTCCTTCTGACCTAATAATTAGTGGTGGACCAAAGAACAGAGACCAAGTAAACAAGAAATCCCTGAGGATGCATGGCTATCGTGTTGCTCACAGCCATCAAGTAAGACAATCTTCTCATGATAACAAAGATGCGGGGCAAGGGTGGGAGTCTGCCATACGATCGGCTTCATAAAATTTGTTGAATATATGATCTAACTAGGTAAAATGTGGTTTTCCTGGATATAATGAATAGAATTACTAAGTTACTCAAGCCAAAAAAGAAAGAAAAACACTTCAATCTAAGTGTTTAATGGTAGTCTTTATTTTTATTATAAATGCTGCTAATTCTATGATGATGTCTATCAACCATCATCATAGATTTTTATTTTAATTATTTAGGAGCTCAGAAGGCACCTGAAGTCGCCCCCTACAGAAGCTACAGAAATGACAGATGTGTTATTCATCTGGGTCATGATGATCACAACACAAGCATCTAAACACCACATTATAGAACTTAAATACATTTTACTTATCAAATATAGGTCAATAAAGCTGAAAAGATTTTCACAACAAATTGTATGGGACTTTGGTACTCAGCCTGCAATGACAGCTTGACCAATCAAAAACAGGATGTCTGATATAAAAATCTTGCAGAAAATTTAATTTGTTTAGTTATAACTTCACATAAGCTAATGTCATATAAACATTATGAAAACTATCCAAACTATTTTAATAAATAATCACATAATCTCCCTAAGTAGTTGTGGGCCAACTTTCAAACATCAGATACGATTTTAAAACAAACCATTTTAATGCTAGTTAGTTTTGCAACAATTTTATGCTAATTTTTACAGTCATAAAGATCCTGGTAACTAATGAAATATAAAAAGGTTTACTGTGTAGTTATAGATTCTGAAGTCATAGTGGCCTCTGTAATATAAAATTCCTTAGATATTATGGCTGAATATAAACAAATAGAATCTACTTTAGGCTATTTAAAATCATGATTTATTTGGTTTTACGTTTAAGTTATGTAAAAATATATAATATCAAAACTAACAATGACTTTCTGATCCTGCCGATGTTTTGTAAAACATGCCTGATAATGATGCTGTCAATAGCCCATGGGACAGGGAGGTCTTCCTGGGACAGATGACCATAAAAGGAAGGTCACAGTCCTTGAGAGCTGGCTACAACTGGGAATTAGTCACAGGATGGTCCAGCAGACCTTATCTCATATTTTAGTCAAGCCATTTCTTCCCACCTTTAGTTCCTGCAGCCCCTCATCGCACACGCTCATGCGTTCTGCTATTTTTCCATTCGTATCACCTAAGAGATTGTTCGCCATGTTTAAGATTTAGGGCACCACCAAACGTCCAGTGACTAATCTCCAGCAGCCCAGAAGCACTCTTTGTTTCTTTTCCAAGATGATGCTGGTTCTTCATATATTTCCTAAGAAAACAGAACCACAACAGGTCTTCAATATGGATTAACAAGAGAGAATAAAATACACTCAGACAATTCAGACAAGAGACCAGGACGTCTACTTCCACCACCCACCACTTTTAACAATCTAAGCGACACGTCCACGAGCACAAGCAAACATAGATGACAGGCAGAAGTTGTCACACGATGCAGCTAGAGA